GGTATGTTTTTAAGATGTATTTTAGTTGTATTACCAGACATGCAATAGACATAGGAGAGTCAGGGAAAGATAGTTAGTGCACTCTAAACAAGTCGCAGGGTGTCCCAATCAATGTGGACAGGGGCTTCGGTTCTGGATCAATGTTCATTGGTGTGGGTTGCTGTTCTTTGGTGTTCGATGGGGTTCATCCTGCTGTATGGACCTGTGGATGACCCAATTAGGTCGATTGAGGTGGTCCGAGGGGGGACGAACACCACTTCAAGTGATCCGGCATGCTCTGAGGAGGAGTGGTCAGATGGGAACATTGGTATGTTTTAAGATGTATTTTAGTTGTATTACCAGACATGCAATAGACATAGCAGAGTTGGGGAAAGATAGTTAGTGCACTCTACACAAGTTGCAGGGTGTCCAAGTCAATGTGGACAGGGGCTTCAGTTCTGGATCAATGTTCATTGGTGTTTGTTTGTGTTTGTTGCTGTTCGTTGGTGTTTGATGGGGTTCGTGCTGCTGTATGGACCTGTGGATGTCCAAATTAGGTCGATTGCAGTGGTCCTAGGGGGGATGAACACCACTTCAAGGGGTCCAGTGTGCCATGATGGGGAGTGGTCAGACAGGATCATTGGTATGTTATATCATGTATGTAGGTTGTATTACCAGATATGCAATTGACATAGGAGAGTCAGGGAATAATGGTTAGTGCACTCTAAACAAGTCACAGGGTGTCCCAGTCAATGTGGACAGGGGCTTTGGTGCTTGATCAATGTTCATTGGTGTTTGTTCATGTTTGTTGGTGTTCATTGGTGTTCAATGGGGTTCGTCCTGCTGTATGGACCTGTGGATGTCCAAATTAGGTCGATTGAGGTGGTCTGAGGGGGGACGAACACCACTTCAAGTGATCCGGCATGCTCTGAGGAGGAGTGGTCAGATGGGAACATTGGTATGTCTTAAGATGTATTTTAGTTGTATTACCAGACATGCAGACATGCAATAGACATAGGTGAGTCAGGCAAAGATGGTTAGTACACTCAAAACAGGTCTCCGGGTGTCCCTGTCAATGTGGACAGGGGCTTCGGTTCTGGATCAATGTTCATTGGTGTTCGTCAGTGTTCATCAGTGTTCGTCCTGCTGTATGGACCTGTGGATGTCCAAATTAGGTCAGACTTTGGTGGTCCTAGGGGGGACAAACACCACTTCAAGGGTCCAGCATGCCATGATGGGGAGTGGTCAGACAGGATCATTGGTATGTTATATCATGTATGTAGGTTGTATTACAAGACATGCAATTGACATAGGAGAGTCAGGCAAAGATGGTTAGCACACTCTAAACAAGTCACAGGGTGTCCCTAGTCAATGTGGACAGGGGCTTTGGTTCTGGAACAGTGTTCTTCAGGTGTGTGTTGGTGTTCGCCCTGCTGTACAGACCTAGACATGTTCAGAACAGGTCAATTGCAATTGAGCTAGGGGGGATGAACACCACGTCAAGCAGCCCAGCATGCTCCAAGGGGGAGTGGTCAGATGGGAACATCAGAATGTTATAAGATGTATTTTGGTTGTATTACCAGACATGCAATAGACCTAGGAGAGTCTGGGAAAAGTGATTAATGCATTCCACACAAGTCGCAGGGTGTCCCAGTCAATGTGGACAGGGGCATTGCTTCTGGAGTGATGTTCATTGGTGTTCATTGGTGTTCGTCTGGCTGTATGGACCTGTAAATGTCCTAGCAAGGTCAATTGCAATTGATCTAGGAGGGACAAACACCACTTCAAATGGTCCAGCATGCCATGAGGGAGAGTGGTCAGACAGGAACATTGATATGTTATCTGATGTATTTTATTTGTATTACCAGACATGCAATTGACCTAGGGGAGTCTGGAAAAGCTGATTAATGCATTCCAAACAAGTAAACAAGTGCTCCAGTATGTTTACTCAGGGCCATCCATGCTGGACTGATGTTCACAAATGTTTGCCCATGTTCATCAGTGTTTGTCATGGTGGACTGGACCAGGACATGGTACTACAAGACCCATGCAAGTGGGCCTGTATGGATGAACACCATTCCAAGTGGGCCAGCATGCTCCGAGGCAGGGTGGTCCAGTGGGCATACTGGTATACTATCTGATGTAGATTCTCTATTTCATTGTAATACATGCAGTAATATAGACATACAGGAATCTGGGAATGATGATCAATGTGCTTGAACCAGGTCCCAGGGTCTCCCAGCATTTGGACATGGTCTGGATAGGGGCTTTGGTAAGGGGTTGATGTTCGCTGGTGTTCATCTGTGTTGTCTGTCATTCCCCATATTGTATGGACCTGTACCTATCAACCTGAGAGCAGAGGAAGAGGTTTCCATGGTATGAACACCATTTCAAGTGGTGCAGCATGGTCTCAGCAGGGGTGGTCGGGTGGGCACACTGATAGAATATCCAATGTAATTTATTTGGATTACATGAAAGTCGATCGACCTACCAGAGGCTGCAAATGATGTTCCATCTGCTCCAAAATGAGTGACAGGCTGTCACAGTCAATTTGGACAGAGGCCATGGTGCTGGCTCAATGTTTGCTGGTGTTTGCAAACAATTTCCCATTAGCAGCAGACTGACATGGGCCAAATTGTCAAGGACCATCCAACTGCAGCCTTGGTTGATCATGCAGGACTGGAAGTGGTTGGCCCAACTGTCCAGTCTGGGGCCAGTGGTTGGGAAACTTTTTGTTCTGTTTACCTGTCAGCTTTGGATCCAGTTGGATGCAACTTGGCTGAGAGGTTCAGAGGGAAAACCAGAGCCAACATCTTTGGAAGATGCCATTCAGAGTTGGACTCTGAACCAGACCTTTGTTGATATAGATTGTGGTTCCCATTCCTGTGGAACTGAATCCCAGTGTTGCCTAGTGTAGTCTGATCAGGTAGCAACATGTTTGGCATCTTGGGATGATACCTGGCCCAAATGTGAACCCCCCTCTTCAGCTTTGCTCCATCAAAACAATTCCAGATCAATCCAGCTGTCCATACCATGTCTGTGCCACTCGAATGACATGGCAGGACCATTTGGATCACACCAGAAAGGACCCTATGTGTCATTCCCCTCCTCTTATCCTGGGGGTGCTAATCCTGTAAAGTTTAGCAAGCATGAAACCTTGTCAGGAATGGTTGTCCTGGAGGGCCTGAAAGTCACAATGGATGATGACAATGGTTGCAGCATTTCTAGGTGTCAGAATATCCATGTAAGATATGTTACCCTGCCCTCCCCATGTTCACTCCATCAAAACAATTTCAGAGATTGATCTAGCTATCTGAATTATGTCTACCCCATGGGGATGACATTACAAGACCATCAGAATTGTGTTACAAAGGTCCCCATATTTGTTTCATCAACATACCTGATCCCCTCCTCATACCCCAGGGATGGCAATCCAGTAACATCAGGAGGGGTGCCAGCTTGCCAGGGATGGATGTCCTGGGTGTTATCAATGCCACTGAAGACAATGGAAATGATTTCCAGCCTCCCAGAAGTATTTCCAAAGAGATACCACTTTGTGGTCTGACCATCCTTCTACCCCCTGTAGATTTTTTTTCCGACCACCAATTTCATTCAAATTTCACCTGGGACATCCCAATGGACATATCTATCGACTCCCAGCATTATTTCCCCCAAATTATGGTCAGGAGTTTGTAATTATAATTCCCCCAGGGGCTGTATAGCCCCTATTGATGCATGCATGCAACAGCCCCTATTGACGCATGCATGCGACAGCCCCAATTGACGCATGCATGTGACAGCCCCTATTGACACATGCATGCGACAGCCCCTATTGACACATGCATGCGACAGCCCCTATTGACACATGCATGCGACAGCCCCTATTGACACATGCATCCCCTATTGATGCATGCATGCGACAGCCCCTAATGCGCCGGACTCTGCGCAGGGTCCAGGAAGTAGATTATTAGGGTCTCCCAGCATTTGGACATGGTCTGGATAGGGGCTTTGGTAAGGGGTTGATGTTCGCTGGTGTTCATCTGTGTTGTCTGTCATTCCCCATATTGTATGGACCTGTACCTATCAACCTGAGAGCAGGGGAAGAGGTTTCCATGGTATGAACACCATTTCAAGTGGTGCAGCATGGTCTCAGCAGGGGTGGTCGGGTGGGCACACTGATAGAATATCCAATGTAATTTATTTGGATTACATGAAAGTCGATCGACCTACCAGAGGCTGCAAATGACATTCCATCTGCTCCAAAATGAGTGACAGGCTGTCACAGTCAATTTGGACAGGGGCCATGGTGCTGGCTCAATGTTTGCTGGTGTTTGCAGACAATTTCCCATTGGCAGCAGACTGACATGGGCCAAATTGTCAAGGACCATCCAACTGCAGCCTTGGTTGATCATGCAGGACTGGAAGTGGTTGGCCCAACTGTCCAGTCTGGGGCCAGTGGTTGGGAAACTTTTTGTTCTGTTTACCTGTCAGCTTTGGATCCAGTTGGATGCAACTTGGCTGAGAGGTTCAGAGGGAAAACCAGAGCCAACATCTTTGGAAGATGCCATTCAGAGTTGGACTCTGAACCAGACCTTTGTTGATATAGATTGTGGTTCCCATTCCTGTGGAACTGAATCCCAGTGTTGCCTAGTGTAGTCTGATCAGGTAGCAACATGTTTGGCATCTTGGGATGATACCTGGCCCAAATGTGAACCCCCCTCTTCAGCTTTGCTCCATCAAAACAATTCCAGATCAATCCAGCTGTCCATACCATGTCTGTGCCACTCGAATGACATGGCAGGACCATTTGGATCACACCAGAAAGGACCCTATGTGTCATTCCCCTCCTCTTATCCTGGGGGTGCTAATCCTGTAAAGTTTAGCAAGCATGAAACCTTGTCAGGAATGGTTGTCCTGGAGGGCCTGAAAGTCACAATGGATGATGACAATAGTTGCAGCATTTCTAGGTGTCAGAATATCCATGTAAGATATGTTACCCCACCCTCCCCATGTTCACTCCATCAAAACAATTTCAGAGATTGATCTAGCTATCTGAATTATGTCTACCCCATGGGTATGACATTACAAGACCATCAGAATTGTGTTACAAAGGTCCCCATATTTGTTTCATTGACATACCTGATCCCCTCCTCATACCCCAGGGATGGTGATCTAGTAACATCAGGAGGGGGTGCCAGCTTGCCAGGGATGGATGTCCTGGGTGTTATCAATGCCACTGAAGATAATGGAAATGATTTCCAGCCTCCCAGAAGTATTTCCAAAGAGATACCACTTTGTGGTCTGACCATCCTTCTACCCCCTGCAGATTTTTTTTCCGACCGCCAATTTCATTCAAATTTCACCTGGGACATCCCAATGGACATATCTATCAACTCCCAGCATTATTTCCCCCAAATTATGGTTGGGAGTTTGTAATTATAATTCCCCCAGGGGCTGTATAGTTTCCTGCAGTGGCTGTACAAGTTGCCCTCTCAACTTGATAGTTATCTTCCATCCAGATAAGCAACTGGTTGTTTATTTTTGCTAGTCATATTCATCAGGTAGTCAGTAGTCACTACTATGTCTGCTTTTCTGCTAATCACTTGCTAGTCATCTTGTGTCCAGAATAAGCAACTGGTTGCTTATTTTCTCTGCTAACAGTGACTGTGGCTTGTCTTTGCCTGCTATGTGGTTGCCTTTAGTGGCTGTGTAGGTTGCCCTCAGTGGCTGTGAGGTTGCCTGCAGGCAACCTTCCATATAAGGCATGTTGCCCTCAGTGGCTGTGTAGGTTGCCTTCACCTACTATGTGGTTGCCTTCAGTGGCTGTGAGGTTGCCTGCAGGCAACCTTCCATATAAGGCAGGTTGCCCTCAGTGGCTGTGTAGGCTGCCTGCACCTCCTATGTGGTTGCCCTCAGTGGCTGTGAGGTTGCCTTCAGGCAACCTTCCATATAAGGCAGATTGCCCTCAGAGGTGAGGGTGAACTCCAGAAAGTAGAATATTAGGTTCCCTACAGATTCCTCTCTGGGTTTCCCTCTGCAACCCCACAAACATCTTCATGTTGGCCCTGTCCTGTAGCTTAGTCTTGTTACCAGTGTTAGGTTGGCTATAATACTCATATTCCTTCATCAATGCATGCATCTACAGTAGATCATCACAGACAGAATGCATGCCAAAATTTGAAGTCATCTCAAACATTTCACAGTGCATTTACACTTGAAATCTGGTCATTCATCAAATGATAAACTACATTTCAAGTACAGCATTCACAGTCCATTCATCATTAAAAGCAACCTAAAATCTGTGGTGTGAGCAGATGAACAAGAACAAAATTAGGAAATTTCAGCAGCTACAGTATCCAAACCACGGACATCACAAATTGAACTTTACAGTAATCCTAGATAAACATCTGTTACTCCGAGGGTACACAACCACCAGGCCCACGAAACAAACTGGAAAGCTTTCCCAGAGAAGAGCAGCACATCAACGAGGTGGCTGATATCAGCCATTGTAACCATACCCATCGAAAAAACCAGATTCGCGCATGAACGATGTCCATCGCTGGTCAAGTCCTGATTCGTGTGCAACGAGACCGAGTTGGGCGAGTTCGGGCGGGGCAAGTGGTACAGGTTGGGGTTGGTGTGGACGAGGGTGTGTGGGTTGACGTGCGTATTGGTGTGGAGGTTGACGACAAGGAAGCGGTTCCATTGGCTGGTGAGGGTTTGGTTGCGTGTACAGATGTGTGGAGGTGGATGGATAAGCTTGGGGCCCGCTTTGGTGATGATGCGCACTGGTGCTAGCGAGAGGATGATCATAATACGAGGATACAGTAGATGACGTGGAAGGCGTCAAAGGATAATGCGTTTGTTGGTCGTACCGGTGTTGGTGCGGATGATGCCCTTGTGAATGGCCCTGTGCGCCAAGATTGGCCATCGGGTACGGATTGGATGGCTCGGATAACCACGCACGCGAAGATGGTCCCGGGATAGGCCCACCATGCGACGGCATATGAGCAGGAGATATTTGCAGTGATGCTGGTGGTAATTTCATGAGGGCAGACTGGGATGAAGCATCCGGATAAAGCGACCGATCCCAAGTTGGCGTATCTTGCGAGTGCCCAAGACCAGCCGCAGAACCAGGCTGCTGAGCCCATGCGGAACCCAACTGTTCACGACCATACGGCCGTGGCACTGAAGTCTCGACCTGATGTTGCTTTTGCGGCGACACGGGTGGACTAATACTCGACTGCCTGATCGACCCATCGGATTTCGGGGATCGCTCCGACGCCCCACCTGTCGCCTGACTTTTTATTGACACGAACTTCATCCGGCCCGCAAAAATGGCCAATTCATCATTATCCTCATTTTCAGTGACACCCCACTGCTGACCCAACTCGTTCGGCATATCGCTCTGTGCATGGAGTAGAGCATTATGTGCCTTCTCCGTCAATCTGGTGATGATGGGCTACCGCGAAAATGAGTATCCGGGTACAAGCAACAAGACCGACAGCTTACGAGTGCTTTTTGTGCTCTCCGACTATATGACGATGCTTTGGAGAAAAGAATACAAGCATCACGAAGCTCTTTCATCGCTTCGGATGCCATAGGTGACCGCGGACCACGTGTCACGATCGTTCCGAACACGATCTAGCGTAACCATCATGTAAGCATCAAAATGGCAGGAAGACGACAAAAATGTGGCGAACTAACAGCAGCCGAAAAGGCATACGTCCATATAGGCCAAAGCCTAGCAGTGAGTTCCGGATGGAGGTCATATTGTGCCTTGACAGTATGCAAGATCGTCAAGGACGCCCGATACGCTGCAAGGAAAGATGGTGTGTATACACTCTTCAGAGGATTGGTGGGATTCTCGATGATAGCTTGTGCAAAGTAGCTCCGATGGATGTAAAGCAAGACTAACCAGACAGACCCATCATTGTCAACTGAACACACCTTACCAAAAACATGAATGAATGCGACTCACTGACTTCCCGTGCATTGGACATGACGTAACGACCCATAGACTCCATCACACCAATGTCCTTGTCTACGGTTCTCGCTGGGGTAGCGCCAGACGCAGCAGCAACAAACTCTTCAACAACTTCAGTGACGGGGAAATTGCGCACTTTATGGTCGAGCTCGAGGATAGTGGAATAACTTGGGGCATCGCAAGTCAGTGTTCGTGCAGCGACATCTGCAACACAATCTGACGCGAAGCGCAAAGTCCAAGGTCCATCTGTACGAACGCCGACCAATATGAGTGCCAAAGCAGCGAATAAAGAGGGAAACTAACAGAAAGCCTGTTTATCAGAGCCAGTGTGAGGCTTATCATGTGGTGACCCGCCTCCAGGGAACTGGCAATCAATGTATGGAAGAGAGAAAGTTGGAGGTCTCCCAGCTTCGAGAGACTGCAGTAGCACCGCCACAATCAGCCAGTACATAGACGGACAGAGACCCAACTTACGTTCCAAACATCTGCCACAAACAGATCCCAAAACACGATCCGTCGCCTTTCAGTAATCTTAGGCGATAGCCCCCATCTAAGACTATCGCGGTCTTAGAACAACAGAGCCTTGGTCAGCCTGCGGGTCTGTCCCTCATCTCCACCAATACTTACGAAGTCCAAGCTGACCAAATGGTTTGTAAGTATCATGTACAATCAAATCAGAACACTGGCGAACTCACCGTGTGAGCAAGATGCGCAGCCAGGGTCACCAAGGACCAAGACGTCTCCATACTCGTCTCCTTGCCAGCGAACTCATTCCCGCTCAAAGCATTGTATATGCTGAGAAGGTGCAACGCTTGAATCGTCTCCAAAGATGGTTTCTCCATCACAGACTGAAGACAGATTGCAGCATGCGCAACCTGGTGGTAACGAGCTGCCTCCGAGGTCCTAGGTTCCTGGTTTGGATCAAGCAAAGCACCAATCGCAAGAACAAGGAAAAGGAGGCCGAGTAGGTGAGGGTTATTGCCCGCTGTCGTAACATGACGTGCGCCGTTCATATAGTACGCGGGCAGCAGCTCCTCCGATATCTGAGCGTGGGACACGCTCTGAAATAGCCAGCTCGCTTGTTCGAAGTAAGCGTCTCTCAGCACACACGCTCGTTCCCAGGTAGGAAGGCAGTCGTTGACCAGGTCTTCTACGCTCAGAGTCGAATCAGCGGGTTTAAATGGGAAAGCTGGGATGAACATTTCGATTTTATGAGGTAGCTCTGGACTTTTCGAGTCCCTCGCCGAATCAGATGAACCGTCCGTAAAGTCTTGCAAGGGTAAATTATCGCTCTAGAAGGCATCATCACAGATGCGATAGTATAAGCTTGGATCTAGCTCACCATCAATAGACACTACAGAAGTCAACTTTGAGAAAAAGTATACATACGACTTGTAACAATACTTACATGTGAACCCCCCGTGGCTCCAAAGAAGCGAGGTGCACCACTGTCCGAGATGGACAAAGTACCCAATGCTTCCACTAATTCAGGAGCGCGCTCTACGACTGCGGGGTCAGCAGCAGAGGAAAGGCCGAGGTCATCATCATGTTGAGATGCCCCCAAGAGGTCAGGCCGAAGAAGCGGGTGTAGTTCTTTGGAATGCCGGGCCTGGAGCTCACCCAGTGCATCTTCCAGTTGCCGAATTCGTTCGCTCATTTTGGCTATCTGACGGTGGAGGTGTTCCGTCGCCGCAAGGACGAACCTACGGTATGGGCGCTCAGAAGATAATTCGGCGTCAAACAGCAATAGATGGGTCATACCGAGTTCCTTGACCCGTAGAAAGGCTTCCTGTGGACAAAACGACGGATGAAGCCATGGGAGTGGAAGGAAAAGGGACGTACCATTGGGACATAATGCTGCACAACCCCTTCGCTATGAATATGTGTGAAAAGGCGTTAGTGGTTACCGTGGCGCGAGAGTGCCGAGGGACGGAGAAGAAACGAGTGCACTCACCCGACAAGACTGACAAGGAATCTGCTTGTCACACTTGATCTTGAGTCTTCAGATATGCATAGCGGGCCAAGTAGAAGTGGTGTGGAAGTCAGTCAACAAGCTTCACACAGTGTACCCGAGTGACGCGCGATGATCGCACACGCACCTCCTGCATTCAGCACACGAGATCTGTCCACTGTTCCTCTTTTGTTCGATCTCCCGTGCATGGCTACCGTCGAATCCGAGCTCCTCGAGGTCTCTGCGAGTCGACTTGTGCTTTGACTTGGGCTTTGTTGGCACAGGCGGCATGACTGAAACTAGCGAAGATGGGAATTTGTCCGACCTGGGCTCGGATAGGCTCCTTGGGAAAATAACAAAGTTTCAGGTGGACAATTCAATTTCCCTAACTCTCGTATGTACTTAGACGCAACGTGGTGAAAGTACGTGTACATACGACCCTTTCCACAGCAAAACCCTAATATACTGCCAATGAAGACAGGTCGGAATCCACATGCCAATTGACACCTTGGCCGTGTGCCTCCCTGCAAGACTGGAGGCATTCGGTGGCACTTTGCTGCCGCTAGCCCAACATTTGCCAAATCGTTTTCTGATTAGGTGTAAAAACTTATTCCACAGCCAGCGGCCCTGACAGAAAGGCGGTACCGGTGACACGCGGAAAGCCGAAAGTAGCAGGTAGTAATAGCTGTACCGCCCACCTACAAACTGACTTGAAATACAAAGGCGCCAAGAGCCTGAAACAATCACCTGGACGACCCATCCGTGATTGTGCCGTGTTTCCTTGGATGGCAGTATATTAAGTAGCAAGTCATGGTCGTTGGGCCTGCCCCTCATGATTGACTGGCATTACATGTATGTATCGAAGACGCTTACCGTACAGCGCAGGGTTGGTGGATCATGAGAACGTGCAAGGGGAATGGAAGAGAATTCCGTCCTTTTCAGGTCGAGTGCTGCTGATACTTACATTCATGATCTGAGCTACTCGTACACGGTGAGCAATATCAGCGCAACACCATTCCGAGAACGTAAAGCCCCGTGCACATCGACAACATCGTGGAACGCAGGTTACAGCATATACACCATACCGCTGTGGACGGTGAGTCATACTACATGCTGCGGGACCACCGTTCTAATAGGATACCTGTCCACGTGAGTGTACTTCCTGTGCCGCACTTACAGTGGAACCCCTTGAAAGCCGATTCGACATTTAAGCGTTAGGTGGCATGGTAAGGAAGAGGGGAAGCAAAGTCACTTCCCATCTAACTAGAAACAGAACCAAACCCAAGTTATTCCCCAGATTAGCCCGGTCCTCTACCAGAGACTTCTCACTGAGAAGAAAGAGCAGGTTGCTTGATGTCGCGGCTCACCGTATCATCAATTGCAAAGTCAATGACTGTACTAGAGGCATGTCATTGCTAGAATGAAGAAAGGGCATGTCCGCCTGTTAGAAAAGGCTATGCCATACCCTAAATTCGTCCGCCGTCCATATGTCTGTCTTCGATCAATCTAGAAATATGCTCCACTCTGCGGGGATTACATGCCAGACCCACTGGTCAACCGACCGTGATCCAAAAGAAAGTTCTCTCATTGACTCACATATCAATGAACACAGATCTTTGATTGTCAGACGGTGACATCGAGTTCCGAGTTGCAGCGGGTGATTTGGGCATGTCACGTGCACGTGGCCAGCCGTATTTGGCGGTGGCCCCGTTGGACTGGCAAGTCGTTGACGATGGCCCCCTCGAGCTCTCCGCATGTCCCTGGGGTGTTCTCAGCGTCCAAAGCCAATGACATTCCCGACTGCATCAAGCCCTACAAAAACGAGGCCCTCATCCGTCTTCGCAATTCTACCGTTGGCTTGGTCGCGCTGGTCGTGACCACACATATTTTACCTCTTCCTTCGTTGTGGACGGCTGCCAATGTCGTGCGTGATCGTGGACAAAGCGATATAGGGTTTTTGTGGGGAGTTTGCGCTACCGGTATGTGCCCATAATCCACGTCACCTACACTCGACCAAAGTTGATCTACTGCTGTCCAGAATTAGGTTTCTTAGCCCTTCTGATTCTGAACACCGCCCAAGCTGCCTACGCGCTAAGATACCCCCGAAAACCACACTCCACACATGTTTCTCCTGCAAAAGCCCTGCAAGTTACGCCTCAGAGTCAGAAAAAGCGACGTTCAATTTTATCGCCTGCTGTGTGTATCATGCCGTTTTTCTACTTTGGGTATTTGAGGCAATCCTTTGATTGATGAACGCCTTTTATTTTATTTTGTACGCGGGATGGATACACAGTCAAGTATGGGTCCCCGAGCCCCCCAGCGCACATCCTCCTTATACACCTCTTCACCACTCTCGACACCTTCGCGTACGCTCTACTATTCTATGCCCAGCACACCCTCGCCATTCAATGCGTCACTGACCTCCTCAACGAGTTCAATGCCACCGACGCCGTCGCCGTCGTTGGGGGCGTACCATGCGAGACATGGAGATTCGCCAGGGCGTAGGTGTTACTCTGGTAGAATCCTATGTCGGTGTCGGACTAATATTTTCTTGCGTTTGTCCGGGTGTAGAACCGTTCGATGGGCTGACGTTGAGCAAGCTCACGGATGCTCAGAGTGACGAGGAAGATTGAATTGTAGATGATCAAGGGACGAACTGGATGGTTCGTGTCGGATTGTCGCTGTCGTCGATGGCTGCTTTTTTTTTCCTGTTCGTGTTGCTTTTTGTGCATTTACGGGTTCGTGCACTTACTGTAACTAATGGCTATATACACATATGAGCATGTTTCAATATCTGAATGGGTTTACTGTGTGGGGTTTAATCGACCCCCCGACTGAGGGGTGCAGTCACTGCGCAGTCTCTACTACTAATGACTTACCAGCCAGGATGCTGTCGACCAGGCATCTATTCAGATCTGCTCCGGCTCGACCCTCCTCAGCTCCAGGCCCATCCATGTCATCACCCTTGCAACCACCAACATCTGCCAGTCGCAGATCACCCAGCCATGCAGAACAAAGACCGACCTTGCCAGAGCTCGAAGAGGATCTTCCCCCAGCTTATACTCCCGCTGCAGACCCAGCTCTTGGCGAGGAAACAATAGAAGTAGGTCCGCGAAGGCCATTTCAACCACCACCATCCCAGCCATCAAGGCTGCCGCCCCCACTCCCATCTCGTACCATGCCAACACCGATGTCTACTCCAGACATCGTCCTGAGTCCTCCGACGGAACAACCACAATGGTACCAAGCACCCGGTCAAGCTTACCGCTCCGATCCTCCTCGTCCACAATCCCAATCTCGGCCTTACACCCCGCAACACCATACCTGGACCAGCTCTCGGATGCACGCTGTAAAGTACCCACAAGGACAGACACCTGGTAGCAGCAGCAGCGGTGGCGGGCTGATTGGCAACCTTGTCAATACAGTCAGAGATGTCGTCGACGCCCTATCGGGTGCGTACGATGACAGGGTGTTAGCAGCCCAGCAAGTGAATAGGGGTGCGTATGCATCATCATACCCGCCTAATCCCCAGGGTCCCTATGCGCCGTCGTATGCACCTCCTGCGCCTGCACGCGCACCCGGGCCTGTATCTCCCATCAGCCCACCAGCCTCACCGCCATCACGGCTTGACGTACCGGACGACGGGCGTCCGACAAGAGTACCTGTACCAGGCCATCCCTTGTTAAGGGATGGGATGTTGTTGGTCTATCCCAAAAGGCCATGCGTGTTGGAAATGTGCGTCTACTTCTCCTCGATATCCCTCCCTGTTCCTTCGCCAACTGACCCGCGTGTATCAAGGCCATAATACCGGGTATAAAGATTACGACCCATCACATCCCTGTCGAAAGTGTTGGGAAAAGTACGGGAAGCCGTACACGGGTGCACTTGCATATGCACCTTGGCCATTCGTCAGACTCGACTTCCAATAGCAGAATGCAACGGCCCCTCCCGCTTTACCTTACTAACCCAGCCTCGAGTGGTCGCCCTTCGAATGGGATGCATCGTTCCTCCCTCTAATCCAAACTCACCCCACATACAGCCGCCGCGTCCATCTGCACCACACCTCCGCTCCATATCGGAACCGCCCCTCTCACTCCCTCCCTCATCGTCGTATGCGTCAGCAGCCCACACCGCAAGCTAGCGGCCCATCCTACTATATCTACAATCCGTCTCTCGGGATGGGTACATCTCCACCAGTCCCACATGCCCAACCCATCCCACCAGGCGATCCCCGTCTCGGCGGACAAATGTGCTTGAGATGCGGAGGGGCGGGTACGGATGTCTCATTCTTATTTGATCTGACCGCGTGTCAGAGGTGTGGAGGTGTCGGGAGGGTGTGGACCTGAGTCATGTGAGACAAGGGGGTGAGTGCTTGGGGATATTTGATCGTACCTTGTACCTTGGTGGACGGATTCTCGAGTAGTCTATGTGGTTACTATGATTTATGCAGGATGTGATATGGGCGTTGTTATAGCCTGGTACTGTTTGGTGCAACTCACGAGCAGACAGTCCAAGTTCATTAGGAGTCCCAGAGTGTGAAGCATGCGGTGCCGACCGTGGAGACGTATGAGCTTGCAAGCAGAAAGTTGACCCCCTTATCGACCCCTTGTCTTATATTACCGGTGATGCTTCACTCCATACGGAGTCCGAGAATCTGAGCCTTGAAGATATAGCTTACGGCAGACAGGTCCTCAAATACGCGGAACAACTGAATCTGACCTTCCCACAGCGCGTGGTCTCACTATTTCTGCGTCAAGTCATCGAAGGCCTTGACCTACCCATGAGTCGACGATAGTCGACGTTTCGGAGAAGATGTTCCTTCCTATTCGTTTCTCTGGGGATGCGTCGCCATCAGCATTGTTGAAGCCGAAAGGGAGTACATCATAGACACCCAAGAGAGGTCCTAGAGCACGCAGGGAATCATTGTGTGGATATAAATATGAAACATTTACGTTCGCAAGAGTGGCGGCGACTTCATTAAATTTTCACAAGGTTTGAAATACGTACACTATCACCGAAGTTTTCGATTAAGTGCGGTATTGGCGCCACTGACGAGGTCGACAGCGCCCGCGTGTTGATTGGACGCGACAGAAGATCCATGTCGACATTTTCGCCGACCGCAGCTGGTACGGGTTTTGGTGCTGATACATCAGTGCCTTCTAATCTTGTCCAATGCAATCATCCGAAGCCGACCAAAATAACAAGAGATCGTAGATTACATACTTCTCGGGTTGGAGCTCGCTGAAGTTGTTGTCCTTTCCCTTGAGCTCCTGAGTGGTGTTCGTGGCTGCAGTGTCTAGCGGTGACCTGGTTCGAATTCCCCGATGTTCCAGAGCTCGAGAGGTTGCCACGAACGGGAGGTGGGGGGGAGCACTGAGACTGATATCTGCGCATGGATAAATACGATGACTGGTAATGAACCTGTTGCCTGGCAGGTAAAATTAGACGACGTAGACTAAGCTGGATAACTTCAAAAAATTATCCAGAAAAGTTTCGTCGGCTGCTTACTGGTCAATGAGAAGTAAATATTTCCTGCTAGTTCGAGGGCATCAGCGAGGGGACTGAAAGAGTGTTGGAATTGAATGTCATCATGCCAGAGACACGCTGCAACTCGCCGCACGGACAAGCTCGGGTCGATTTGCAATATCATCATCCGCACAGTTTTCGCGGGAGGTCAATCTCGGTACCCCCGGGTTGCTCAAGTTCGCTGGGCAATTGCCTTGAAGCCTAGACGCCCTTGAAGTTTCGAAAGGAGTAGTTCACTCGATTGCCAGCAGAACGAAGTGCCGCTGACGCGGGCTAATGCACATCGGGTACACCGCACCCCTATCCGATTGACCTGACACGTTGGCGGCACGAGCCCTACATCAACAATAACCAGTAGTCACTTGTGCTGCAGGCGATACAAGCCGTCAATTGTATAGTCACCTATAGACACATCCTCGATTGAACGAGTTAGAAACCCAAGGGCGCGGCACGGGCTAGCGAGACGACCACAGCCGGCGCGCGCTTCAAGCTCAAAACCGGGGTATGAAACGAACGGGCTGAAAAATAAGGTCCGCCAGCAACGGGGAATATCGCATGAGCCAAATCCTTCCTCGTCGATAGAAGGCCTCCTGTACATTCCCTACATAGTAGTAGGGGGCCATGCATGAACATCATCGCTCTATGTAGTTGCTGATGTAGGACTGTGGAACAATGCAAAGTAACTGATGGACATTCCAGGTCATCAATGATTCGCTTGGAAGGGAGATGAATTAAGTTACAAGAAGCGGGTACCAACTTCACATCTAACAGCTCAGAAACGAATCGGACAAGAGTCTCACCGATATATCAAGCACGCACTAAGTACTAGCATCCAGAATGCCACTGGTCAGTTCATCAGTAATGGTAAATTCTGCTTCTTACCTAGCCGCCAATACTCTGATCCGCGTCAGGCACTACACCCCACCCTCCGTTGAGCTCCACCAAAACCCTCTTGTGTTCCAAACCATCCACAACAATAGAAAGCCTCCGACGACGTATGCGATGATCCGTGTCTGTCTAACACCCCCTGTGGACGACAAGCCGAAGGCGTGCGCGGCGCGGCGGGAGGAGTGGGAAAGTGAGGCAGTGAAGGAGGAGAAAGTGTCGTTCTGATTTGTCAATGTCATGGACCAGTAAGCAAGGCCGAAGGAAGAATAAGTGGAGATGCAGACGTACGGTATCGTCTAGCATGCGATTCTGTCTCTCTGCATCGTCGTATATGTCGGTCGTGACCTGTGTGTTCAGCGTCGAACGTTGAGATTTAACATATCAGCATCATTCATTGTCTCAGGGCGCACCCCTCGTAGCGTTTGGAGCTTTGAATGTAGCTGGTCGAGTCGTGCGTCATTCTGTGACTCGTAGGTTGACTCTGACACGGAGGAAGCCATCGTGGAGAGAAGCCAACAGTACTGTGGCTGTGCCCCTGAGCCATAATCCTATTTCACGATCAAGGGCACGAACTTGTTATCACCAAAGCAGACACCTGGCATGCACGGTCCCTGTTGTCGTTGCACTCTCCCGGGGCCGAAGACCCGTCAGGAAGATCACTGGTGACATGTACTAGTGCCAGACCAAGACCCTCCAACTAACGAGTCCTAATACGAGGATGATGATTACAATAACAATATGGGATCCCCCCCTAGTTCAGAGCCAATGCAGAATCGAAACGAGTACTTTTCATGCGCTGCTTCCGCTATTCATCGTGTTTTGTCTCGCTCATATCCGTGTCTTAGGCGCACGAAAGGCAAAGGAAATAGACAAGGAAAGTTGGCTCACATTTCTGCCCCCATCGAGTCAAGCGGAAGGCCGACTTGCCAATCAAGATCAGGAGAACCTGGGTGAATGACGCAGGAAATTACCCAAGACAACAAATGGACACGAAACGGAATTGGCGCGGACGCCCGCACCACCTACCCGTCCACATCGCAACTGACAAGCATGGATTGTTGTGCAGTGTCCATCGTTGATCCGGCCGAGCCAAGATGATTTTCGCTAAATCATTGCGCAACAAATCCAAGTCGACTGGGGCCACGTACATAATCATCCTCTCTCGCTGGCATTCCAGCCTCTGCAGACCTTTCCCCATCTCCTGTCCCTCTTCCGCGAGTTTTGGGAGACCCAGTCGGGACCAACATGAAAGGATTGTGTAACACCTATAATACTTTGGACAAGAGGGCAAGGCGCGCACGATGAAGACGGGTTGGGTAGACCACATCAGTTTGGATCTGTTGATGTGCATCTTCCCTTTTCTTTCGATTTTTTTCTTTTCGTCTCTCGTTCTCTACCTCCAGCACCCTAACGAAGCAACGGATTCCCCTGTTTCGGTGATAGGCTTATCCTTACACCCGTGACAGGACGTGGATTTTGTGCACGACCCCGGACCCGTTCTTTCTCCGCCGCCGCCGCCTCCACCCATTTCGAGCCCTCCGCACTTCCGCTCGTTTCAAGTTTCAGCGACTCATCGTACAGCCCTGATGCCCCTGTGTATAGCATCCCCGCGGACATCCACCCCGATCAATCAGCGACACAGCCCCACCTTGACGACGCCCAATAGCAATATTCGTGCTTCGCAATCCACGCCTTTCAGGATCGCGTTTGCAATGTCGGCAGCCGTCACATCACTCTCATTTACCATTCCCACACCGAGGCGGGAAGCGGCGCAGAACGTCCACCAATGTCACCGACGTACACTGATTTTCGCGTCTCCCCCGTTCCTGATGCAGATGACTCGTCTCCCACAGCTCACCAAAATACCCTGTTATCGTAAGGCTGATTGTGCTGCTGATCATACGCAGGGCCGTGACCCAGCTCCTGATCTCTTACCACCCTCTTCCTGCAACAACATCCAAGCTCCGCGGCAGCCCCAACTGAGAACGGCAAATAAGATAGGGGAGGATGTCCGTACTCGAGCTCGATGCATTTAAGGTTTTACGGATAGGAGTACTCACTAAGATGTCGGTGAGAATGCGTAGCTGACTTCGTCATATTTCTGGTAGCCGAATCGTCTGCTTTGGTTTATTCGTTTCGGTGATGAATTGGAGGAATGGCACCCTCCGGCATTGGTAGCCGGGTTTGGACTTGCGAATGTGGACTCCTGTGCTGCTATCTCAGCTCCAATCCCTACCCCAGGGCCACTCCCTGACCGATTACATCCAATTGAAATATATCCGTGACACTACTGTTACACGGAATTGCGTTGAGAGCTCGAACTCTGAAGAATCCCAGCCTCTACGAGAATGCACAGCCTGTGTCACATCGGAATGTTCTATTTTCATCTGTCCGTGTCATTTAGCGGTGGGCACTGGCGATAGTAGCTATGTTCCGTCCACAACACCCAAACCAAAACTGATTTCGCAAGCATTCAGGCGCTTGCTCCTATCCGCAGCTGTCACCCGACATCGATATCCTATTTCGGTGCCCAATCGCATCACGCCCCCATTCATCATTTGGGCACACTGGAACAGTCCCCTCTGCGCGCGTGGCTCGGTCGCTTCGTCGCATCCATACAGATACGCACCCATGGTCGTGGGTCTGACAGTAGTCCCATGTTGGACGATCCTGCCTCCGAAGGCTATCACCTCTAGTTCCGCTCGTCCACACGAATTTGCAACTACATCTGTACCACGACACCGTATTGCGAGTCCGTCACGAATGTGAATGCAGATGCGAGCGGATTTCCATCACCGCCGACGAGCATATATATCACCAGATGCCACAACCAATATCTCAGACTTTGTTCTCCAGGAAGATGGTCCTACTACTATCCGTCCGAGATCGGTGTTGGGAGTCCCTTATTCTTCAACAGCGTTCCACACCGAGTACGTGCCTGGTGATGCCCTACTCTTGGATCCTCGAGGGTGCCACCAGAGTAGCAGTTTTCGCAACGCGCCTCTGGACCCTACTTTTGAAGAAGTCGGTGTTGAAGAGGCACCACTCTTGTAGACTATACCTGGAGCTTATCAGGATCGCAATGGATACAATGTTAGCAGTCGTTCTTCCTCTGATCCAATGTGGAATTTGAGTTGGCGTTTGCACAGGAGAAAAATAATTGCAAGGCTGCCAAAGAGCAGCACTTCGTCGCAAGAGCGGGTGAACCAAGAATGCCACGGGTGCAGTGCCTCTGTGATTGGAGGAGGTACTATCAACGCAGTAGGGTGCGGCTGGTGGACAGGTGACCGTGGACGCTGAAAGGCAACTCAGATCCAGACATGTCCCTGACGATAATAATGGATTCCATTTCTGTCGGATCTGAACGGACGGTGCTCATCAGCCCCTAGGGTATGGGTAAAGCTAAACAGGGGAAAGGAAATAAAGCCGAACCTTCGATTCCTCCATTTCCGATATTTTTACACACAGGAATAGCACTATCCCAACATGCAATGATTATGAAGTCAGTATTTTTATCAAGTGTTTCGCACGTTCTCCCAAGTGTTTTGACTCTTCCTTTTACACTTTCTGACTGTGCCTAGTGCGGAAGGGGACTACGATGCGTGGGTTGTAGATATGGAACTCCCTTTATTCAACTGCTCAGTGGGTTTAGTTATTGTTGGTTCAGCAAATTGAACAGCGGTGGTGAAGGCTGTCTAGCATCTATAACACCGATGACTGGATTCTCTTTGTCGATCGCTCAGATAGTTCCGCGCGCCGTAGATTGCTCACGAGTACTGTACATTGTTCTCTCGGTCGTAGACAGAGCGTGTAGTTAGCATTGCCGTTCGTCCCAAATCAGCAATTATGGTTGAATTCGGTGACAGCCCAATTAGCGCTCGAGCAAAGAGCTTTTTGTTTTGAACGCCGGTACAGAGTATGACTTCGTCCGTTTCCCAAGAGACCAGGGAGTTGCAGTGGGGCAGAGGTAAGTCCATTGTGTCATTCATCGTGGATACTACGTTCTTCGGTGCTGCCGGGACGACTACCACGGTGCGAGGAAGAACTACTGATTGAACGCTTGGCAGTGTTGATCTGTGGAGGGACTGACTGGTACGGGTCATGCTTCTCAGAGAATGCTGCGGATGTACTTAGTTCTTGACGCGGTCTACAGGCCAAAACTTGGTCGCAAAGAACGCGGTGGAAAAGGCGAAGGCAACCCAGACGCGTACGGGCGTCATATCCCTCGTTCGCCGTAGTTATACTTACATAGACTTACGTGCATCGCAGGCCAGACCTCCTCGAACCCCACATCCTCCGCTCGCTCAGCAATGTCAAAATAACTTCCATCCATGGGTCCTGCTGCGCGTGCCATTACATAGTGATTGACATGCACGGCGCAGCATGGATGTTTGGTCGAAACGGACCCCAATGTGCGCTAGGCGTGACTGCGGCGGACTCGATATCCGAGAACGCACCCAGGCGGTTACTTCCGACCGAAATCGGGGCGAAAGCAGGCACGAAGTTCGTGCATGCTGCCTGTGGACGGAGTCATTCGCTGTTGGTGGATAGCACAGGTCAGGCATGGTCGGCTGGTGCGAATAATTTCGGACAAGTGAGAGATATTGATGGCCGTTCCTCTATTCTTCGGTAATGAATGCATTTGGATACAGTGTGGGCACGCCATATCGCCCCAAGTTGCGAGCTTCAAGGCTATTGACGGACCATATCTCGATGGACATCGCCAGCGAGTCGTCAAAGCAGCTGCCGGAATTACCTTTTCGATCCTTTTAACGGAGAGTGGAAGAGGTATGCTTGGGTAATCTATGTTTTTCCTCCTTTCCTAACTAAACACCCAATTATACTCTCAGTGTTTTCTTTTGGAAGTGGTGAAAAAGGACAGCTTGGGAATGGGAGGACGGGTGAACATATCACGACGGGTAACAAGACTGCCTTCGACATCGAAGCGAATCCGAGTTACGCGTCGTTTCTCGTTTGCAGGTTATATTCTTGCTGATGGATTGCGCCTTAGTACCTGTCAAGGGTCTCGACGACAAAGTGATTACGAACATCGCTTCTGGTCCACAACATAGTATTGCTATTGATTCTCAAGGGTCCGTAGGCGGTCACATTATGTCCCGTCTCTCTCTTTTCTGAAGATAAGTCTTCTAGAGTGGTTTATGTGTGGGGTTACAATGGATATTGTCGATTAGGCCTTGGGAACCAGCAAGATGCACTGATTCCCAAGGTTGTCCCTCAAGTATGTCATTCTCACGTAGTGTTTCCAGCACCGACCTTTTTTTCCTCCAAGTTTGCTGGCCCAAATGAGGTAACTATGGGAGCACAAGTGATTGCTGGGCCAACAAATAGTGTCGTTATAGACAAGCAACGGATGTATTGGATGACAGGCAAAGTACGCCCGGTTTTAATGTGAAGGAATTCTGACTGATGGTCGCGGCGAAAGTGGAAAAACAGCGGCGAAGGTAGGGACATTGAGGACACACGTGCTTGCTTGTCGAACAAATTATGGTTTTGTTGCAGGTTCTGCAGGTTCCCCCTACTCCTCGTTCCGTTTTATTCAGGACTTGATGTACGTGGACGTCCTTTTCAAATAGCGTGAACTCACCAGTTCGCTGCAGGGGGTGCAAGATATCGACAGCAAGTTGTGGAGGAGTGACTCACTTTGCACTGACCACGGATGAAGACGGAAATGCTATGACCGTTGCTTACGGCCAAAATGCTGCCAATGGTACGAGAGTCTGAGGTAATGACCCCTTTGTCTTCTCAGGGTACCTCCAGGCGAACTTGGTCTTGGCCCGGACGAACCCAAGAGTGCGACTAAACCCGCTCGCCACCAGCCCCTGTCCGGTATCGAGGTCTTCAGGTTGGTACTTATCTTTGCGTCGCCTTTATTTCCCACTGCACCCCTCTTTCTCCAGCATAGCAGCGGGGCAGCACACCACGCTGTTCTTGGCGAAGCCGAACGATGGCTTTTCCGAGCTTCCTCGGCACCCCATTGAAGTAGATGCTCCAGAACTCTGTTTAGTTTGTGGGAAGGATAATGGCGATGACGATTCGCCTTTGGAGTGCGACAAAGTCAGTGCCTACCATTTTCTGTACCTCCATTCACTGCATCACCTGCCCTCCAGTGCGACCACCCTTACCACCTTGGCTGTCTCAGCCCTCCACTTCAAACTGTTCCAGATGGTGAATGGTTCTGCCCTCAATGCACCAATGAGATAGGTGTCCTTGCAAGTTCTAACCCGAAGGGTGATGAAAGGGTGGGAACAAAACGCAAGGCACCAGCCGCCAAAGAGAGTGGTAAGTTTCATCACTTGGTTTGTCACTTATTGAGCGTCATCTCGTCACTCTAGCACCGAAACGCAAGAAATAATTTTGGACGCCATCCTTTACAAACAGTGTTTTTAGCACCCAATGCACGATGCTTGTCGCGGGAGATATATGTATACATATATAGGTAGTTTATAGCTCAGGATCCCATTTTCGAACGCAGGCCCATTGCTCGTTTTTGTGCAACGCCCTGCCCCCATAAAACTAAGCTTGTAGAGAATAAAATTGCCTCTCAGGCTCGGTAGCAAACCGGGCACCCGAGAATTGCCTCACCGTAATAACGTTAGCTCGGTTACCATACAAACAGAACAAAGCAGGCACGATCAGATATCTCAAGCGGAGATTCATGCGCCGATTCTGACTGAATTAACTTTGTTTACCCAGCGCGGATGATCGATATCTGCTGTCTGGATTTTTGCAACTGTAACATTGTCGCCCCAGCACTTCGTTTCTTTGTCAATTTAAACGCTTACACCTAACAGAATCTGTAACCCGCCACTCTATAAAATGTGTGGTTTATGAGTTGATCCCACTTAAGTAAAAGCGGTGCGTGTCAGTAGCAACTGTGCCCGATCAACCATTTATAACTATAAGTGAGAATGACCGAAATGTTCAACGGCTCAAGCGCCCAGCGCCCAGCCTGTACAGTGCGCACAAGCTCCTACAGGTTTCAGCTCTCCTTCGTCGCGCCAATCAGTCCGGTGTATGTCTGGCATCGTGGGGATGTTCCGACCTTGTGTACGTCCTACTTCGTGATCTTTATCAAACCCAAGCTATGCTGCCGTGACTTTTTTGCAACGTTCTTCCTCCCCAGGTCAAATTTCGTCCAACCAAAATAGTATAGCCTAAATGGCTGTAATGGCTGACATGTGGAGCCAAGGTGCTCCTAGCCGAACAAGCAGTGAAGCCGATCAGCCGCTTCAGTGCCGAGCGCCCCTGTTCCGAAGTCATGAAGTCGTTCGGTTAATGGCGGAGTACTTAAAGTACTTGGGTGAAAAATGATCCCTAGCATCCATTTCACCCGCCGAGGAGCGTTAGTGGCAGGCATCGCACAGTCGTGATGTGGGGGAAAGCTCTGAAGCATACCTCCTTCCTTGCCCTGGCAACTCTCGCCTCGGCGGCCACCAAGGATACAGAGTTCGTGATTAGTAATGCCGTGGTTGCCCCCGACGGCTTCAGCAGAAGGTGCGCGTCGCTGGCAACCGCCACTCTATCCTGCTGAAAATGTCTTCTAAAGTGCCATTGTCATCAATGGTTCTCCGGCCGTTGGACCTCTCGTCGCAGCAAATAAGGTACATTGATAACCAAATTTTCCCTCGAGCGCTCAATTCCACGACACACAGGGCGATAACCTGAGAATCAAAGTTACCAACGATCTCACTGATGAGTCCATGAATAAGAGTACAACTGTGGTATGATTCTTCTTTAGTTTATCCAGGCTTGGATTTAACTGATTCGGTCACAAGCATTGGCATGGAATATTTCAACATCATAGCAACGCTATGGACGGAACGGCTTTTGTGACGCAGTGTCCAATCGCCCCCGAAAAATCTTTCCTTTATAACTTCACCGTGGACAGTCAAGCAGGGACGTTTTGGTACCATTCCCATTTTAATCTTCAATACTGCGAAGGTTTGCGCGGCCCACTGGTTCTCTATGATCCCAACGACCCCTACAGTCACCTGTATGACGTTGACGATGGTAGGCTATTACAACGTGTCCATAGCAAGAGTGCTTATTTATGCACTTCTAGCTTCAACCATCCTCACCTTGATGGACTGGTTAGTCAGCAGAAAGAATTGTATGGCGGTGCCACTAACGTCCGTGCACAGGTATCACGTCAACGCCTATGATGTAGCAGCCGCCGATAACCCCGCTGGCATCCTCATCAACGGGCTCGGACGTTACCCCGGAGGTCCAAATGTGGATCTATCAGTCACGACCGTGCAACAAGGGAAACGGTACCGTATGCGGGTAGTCAACATGGCCTGTAAACCACACATTCTTCTCTCGATCGACATGCACAACATGACTGTCATTGAAGCTGACGGGCAGGAAACGCTTCCGCTCGTCGTTAATCAAATACCTGTTTATGTCGGGCAACGATACTCATTCATTCTGGAGGCCAACCAGCCGGTCGACAACTACTGGATACGTGCTTTGCCGGGAAGTTACCCCTCGAATTTTTCGGATGGACTGAACTCTGGAATTCTGCGATACGAGGGCGCTCCGGCCACAGATCCCGCAAACAGGACTTGGGTTCTCAATAATGTTCTCGACGAGACAAACCTCCATCCGTTAAATACGACGCTCGCCGTACCTGGTCTGCCGTACCCTGGCGGTGCTGACGTTTCCATCAATATCGTTTCCATTATGGACAACACCACTCTCCTTTTCTATATGAATGGTGTCATTTATGAATCACCATCAACTCCGGTTTTGTTGCAGATTCTTAGTGGTGCGGTTACTGCCTCGCAGCTGGCTCCTCATGGTTTGGTATACACGCTGCCGCACAACAAGGTCATCGAGCTATCATTCCCCACAGAATTCCTGAACACACCGGTGGGTACTGTCTCGCTCGTGCCTTGTAGTGTCTGATAATGGTACAGCATCCGTTCCACTTGCATGGCGTAAGTAGAATCTGGTCTTGATTTTTCTGCCCCTGATAGTCCCTTTTAGCATGCCTTCTATGTTGTGAGGAGTGCGAATAGCACAGCCTATAACTACGTCAACCCCGTCGTACGCGACACTGTCAATATTGGTGCCAACACGGACAATGTGACTGTTCGCTTTGTCACGGACAATTCTGGACCGTGGTTCTTGCATTGGTGGGTAGTGCTATAGCTCATCTCAAGCAAAATGCTGATAGTTATTGTAGCCATATTGACTGGCATTTGTACCGGGGCATGGCTGTCGTGTTTGCTGAGGATCCAAACGGAACCACGAAAGCGGATCCCGTAAACTGTATGTTTCCATTCATGGTATGAACTGTACGCAACTGAACTGCTCTGTAGCTGCTTGGCAGAATCTCTGTCCTGTCTATGATTCCCTTGCACCTTCGGACCAGTAGAAAATAGTGCTCTGCCTGCGGTGAAGAAATATTGAGAGCGATGCACAGACTTCTTGCGGGCTTTTCGGATTCTCTTAGCACAACAAGTTCCTAACCCACTCGTTTTTGTCGTTCGCTTTTTTAAGGATTCGCTCAATCTATGTAGTGTCGGACTATTAGTACCCGTAGGAAGTGCTACTGTCGTCGAGTACATAGGTTAAGTAAGTAATTGATTGCTTTGACTTATCAAGGAGAATATGGTTCGACCCGTTCAGACGTTTGCGTGGTAACTATTAGCCTGTGATACATACAACCCAACATATTAGCTCTCAATTCAGTTCTGGCACAACCAGCAAACAACATGTCTACTGGTATGTTCCGTATCCCCTACAGTTAAATCAGGCGCTGGAGGTAATGTAAAATATTGACAGTAACATGGTCGGTCCGCGCATCTCCAGCGGCGCAATGGGAATGACTGAAGCCAAGCCTGCTTTATCTTCGCAGCCCTATCTGTTCGCTGTCTGTTTCAGAACGTGAGATCAACGCGCACATAGACAGCGGATGCTCAGAGCACGTAGTCGGGAAGGACTCGAACTCGAACAACGCTCGGGCTTCCTCGCAGGTTCTCTGCAAGAATGATTCAGCAAGCAAGATTCCACCAATCTTTGTCAAGGGTCGCGAGGCTAAACAGTCTGCTCTAGACACCTCTCCAAAACATGCAGATGTGTCTACGGGAACTAAACGAAAAGTAGGGCCACTCGCTCTGACGCAGCAGTCCCAAGCGAAACGGGTGAGAGCGTTGGAACCCGTCGCACGGGCGGGTGTACCACTTGCGGATAGACTTCGTCCACAAGCCCTGAGCGAGTTTGTTGGACAAAAACATCTCACGAACCCTGGCTCGGTCTTGATGAACTTACTTGGTAGTGGAAATCTTGGCAGCATCATACTTTGGGGACCTCCTGGGTAAGTCTGTCAGTTGTCCAATGATCGTTGATCATGCTGAATACTTCATAAGTTGCGGAAAGACCACGCTTTCTAGACTGCTGGCTCGCGAGGCTGATTGTACATTCAAGGAGCTGAGTGCTACCTCATCAGGGATCAACGATGTTCGCGCGGTGTTCGAGGAGGCAAAGAGGATACTTTCTTTGACAGGAAAGTAGGGTGCATTCCAATGGTCTACCAGAGTTAACATTGACTATTTTCCAGGAAGACGGTATTGTTCTTGGACGAAATCCATCGCTTCAGTAAAGCGCAACAGGTGTGTCTGACTCGTCTCAAAAAAAAAACTCTACGTATGAAGTACGCCCAGGATATCTTTCTACCTTACGTTGAACAGGGCCAAATACAGGTGAGAGTGCCGATGTCCGTATTTGTAAATTCCAGCATGGTCACTCATGCCAAGACAAGTTGATAGGAGCAACTACTGAGAACCCATCATTTAAGCTGACCAGCGCACTTTTAAGTCGATGTCGGTATGTCGTACTATATTGAAACTTCATGTTTATACACCTGCAAAGCTAGCGTGTTGACATTAGGCCGTCTCACCGAGGAAGATATACAAGATATCATCACGAGAGCAATAAGGCGGGTTAATGGCATGCCCAGCACTGGAAAGCCTCACGACGTGGAGCCCTCGAGCTCACAGGACGTAGGTGGAAGCTCCCAAGCATCTAACAACTCGCAAGAGTCTACATGCCCTTCATTTTCCCAGATCACCGAACGGGTGATATCATCTATTGTTTCCCTCTCTTGTGGTGATGCAAGGACTGCATTATCCTTACTTGAACTTGTTCTCTATTCCAAAGACATCCCGGAAGATGATGTAATTGCCTCAATGCGCCACTCGGTGTCCACATCCTATGACCGCACAGGGGACAGTCGCTATGATATGATATCAGCTCTGCATAAGAGCATCCGAGGTAGCCATGGAAGCGCTGCCGTGTATTGGCTAGCACGGATGCTCTGTGCAGGAGAGGATCCTGTGTATATTGCGCGGAGGATGGTTGTCTGTGCCAGCGAGGACGTAGGGCTTGCGGATAACCAAGCTTTGCCCCTGGTGAAGGTGGACTACTTGGCAATGCCACATTTATACTAACCAACAGCTAGGCAATCGCTACCCTTCATGCCTGTCAACAAATCGGAATGCCAGAGTGCCGGATTAACCTGGCTCATCTCGTTGCATACCTTGCGGAGGCTCCAAAGAGTACACGCGCTTACGAGGCATATAAGCGTGCGGAAGAAGCTGCAAAATCAGATACCGGCTTGCCTGTTCCGATGGCAATGCGGAACGCGCCAACAAGTCTCATGAAGGAACTCGGATACTCTGAAGGATACAAGTATAACCCCTGTTATGCGTGAGGACATCATCTCCTCTACAGTGACTATATTGATGTACATCACCATCACAGACATCCGGTCCATAATGAGTACTTACCGTCACCCGTCAAACATAATACAATCTTGAAGGAGGCTGGAGACATGTCGGATAAACTCTGGGATGAAGTCGCGTTGCGACACTGGGAGATACAATGTAACGGCGGCAGTCTCTGGTGTGGTCGTCCCGTCCAATAGCTAGTACCATGGGGGTCGTTGGTCTTGTTGGATTATGTTGCATTTGATGCAGTAAACGGGCTTGTCACCTCCACGGATCGATCGAATAGTTGTCTCAACACCAGGTACGGCAGAGGAGTTTGTCTTGGGCACCAAGAGCACGCTCCTCGACAACCGGAGACACCCTCACAATTCCAGCCTCAGCCTTCAAGCAGCAGTTACCGTCTCGCTTCTAAGCATACGAGAACCTGTTGTATGACCATGAAAGAGTCTACTGCCAGGTGACTGGCGTCCCTGCATATATTATCACAATCTTCCACTGGGTGTGCTCTTCTCCAGCTTCCCCAGAAACACGCTACTCCGTTATGGGATCTGATTCCATCAGAGACGTGGATGATGCAAGGATTTGGTATGACTGATGCTGGCACTGGCAACATGTTGACAGGTTTATGTGACTTTTGGTGTGTCCATCCAAATCCCATCCCTCTGCGTCACTCCTTACACCACCAGCGCTGAAACTTCAGTCCGAAACCATTTTAGATATGTAGCTCTACACCCGTGCGAACCTTTTCTTTCCAGGCTCGGACGCTCATACTATCGTTTATACATGCAGGTAGTTTTCGCAACATCTGAAATGTCCCGTGCTCATTCCCCAGTCATCATTCGTAGCTGTTGGTTTCCCGATCTTAAACCAAGCCTCCCCTTTTCAATGAAGGAGCGCGTACGAAAGGCTTCACCCATGCCACACAATCCGTGGTTTGAAAGATGGGATGATCAAATACCCCTCCGTGAAATGAAGCAGCGCAAATCTTAAAGTGTCTTAAATCCAAGGTGAATTCCTGAACAACGCCAGGGATTGTGTTAGTGGCAGACTACCTGTTCTTCGGAGAGGCACGTGAGGCCGCCTTATGACTGGGCGATGCTTGTAGACATTTCACGTCGTCGCCTTGTGGCCAGTGCTTTTCGGCCACCATCAACAAGCGCTGTCCGATCAAGTTAACCACAGGGGATATTGTTGTTTCTGGCGTGTCCTCTTATCTACCCTTGCAAGGTTCCCGAGGTACTTGTCCGGCTAATCTCATTGGCTTAAATGTACATACTGAGAGTGTGTGCCTTCTCGAAGGCTACGAACATCGTAACAAGCTGTAATCCGCGGACTCACAAACAACTGTAGCATTGCCCAAGAAAGTGATGAATCGCCAGAATCCATGCATGGTTAATCCACTTTGAGCTGCTCGGGCTTGGGTTGTTCTGGCAGACGGACAATCTGTGTTCATCTGAGTCGGTGCCCGTCGCTCAACATCTCCATCCTCTTGGCTTTGTGTTCCGTCGTCCCTGATGCGGATCCAAATGTCAGTTTCAAACTTTCAGGCAGAAGCTGGGTCGGCTATTGAGACCTTCCAGCGTAATCCGTTTTCGGCATTCTCTTCGGCCTCGCGTGGTACCTTTATTGAGAAAGGCGATAACGCTGGCCATATATAAGTATGTCGAGAAATCGCATGCTGAAAAATGGTTTACTATGGTAGTACTCCCTCTCGAAATTCGCTGGCTTGGTATTTCAGCCGCCAGTATCAAGTTAGCCAGAGGTGCCCAACTCACTATCTCAAATGCGTAGTATCACCAGATGGTTACAGCAGAAGGTAAATTTCCGTTACTTACTCCAAACCGTGATCGGGGCATATTTTCAGCGCATTTGTTGTGAACGGAGACACTTCCGGACCAGTCCTTGTTGGAAGAAAGGTACCGTACATTTAATCCTCGGTGTATTCCCGGCACACTCAAACTAGTCAACCAACAGGAGTCTGCATTCAGTGTCATCATCGTCGACTCGCTCACCAATGAATCGATAAATAGGAGCACGTTCATCTTCGGTGCGGTTTTCGTTTTCCAGAAAACAAGGATCTCCTTAGGCTCCATAGCATTGGCATGGCATTTTGCAGCATCACAATAAATGCTATGGATGGCAACGCTTTCATGACTCAGTATTCAATAGCACCTGGTAACTTGTTTCTTTATAACTTTGCGGTTCCCAGTCAGGCAGGGACGTTTTGATCCGCCTACAGTATTGCGAGGGGCTGCGTGACCCATTAATTGTGTATGACTCCCACGATCCGTACTCGAACATGTACGATATGGGTCTCCCCCAATAGACGCCCCTTCGCGACGAACGCAGCAGACATTTCTCCACAGTGTCCACCGCTGTCGCATTTGTTGATTGGTTTGCGTCTCGGTTTCTTGAAACGGAGTTGAAAAGCTCACATTTCACAGGTACCACGTCAACCCTTTCGATGTCACGCCAACGACTACATCGGACAGTCTTTTGATAGATGGTATTGGGCGTCATTTTGGAGGGCCAAACTCTACACTAGCTGTCATCAACGTTGTCCAAGAGAAGTGGTATCGTATTCGACTGTTAAACACAGGGTGCAAACCTTGTGCAACATATGTATACCGCAATTCACCATCATCTGAACAATAAGGGTCTAATCCGTGTTTTTTTCTCTGAACGAATCACAACGTTAAGGAGAGGGGATTTCTTTGTACCAGTAATTATAGTCGCAGGCAGCCTGTCATATGATGTCCAATATGCACAGCATTGAGGCTCCATTTGCGTCGTAGCGAGACACAGGGTGGTTTATAACTCCGGTCTAATCACGGTGTCCACGCAAATGTGATTCATGCTAAGACTACCATCTTGCAGAAATCAATCCATAATGGAAACACGACGTAGGTATCATACGTTATACTAAGTCTCAGCAGGGAAAGAAATTTGCTACTCTCCATACACTTTGAGAACAACATACCCAACGAGGGCGCTGAGACTGATGACAAGGGCAAAGGCACCAACGATATAGGTAGCTAGCTCCCATGGGAGCATATCAGAATCTGATGGTGTCGAAGCCTCGGCCCGCTTTTCTTCCATCTTAATCACTACCGTCCGTTTGTCCGATGGATCGTAAGTGATGCGGTTCCCTTCCAGGATGATAAAGGATGGGTAGTTTTGTTCGCACCACAGTTCAATCTGAACACCAGAGTTGATAACGTGGGGATAAGCAACATAAAGAACCTCATACCTTGCCACACATCACGGATATGCGAAGAAAGTTGGGATCCTGTGGCTTCGCCTTCGCATGAATCTTGCGAGCGTATTCCCGGAATATAAGGGCGACATCCCTAGCGTTTGTAGACCGCATTATAAGCTAGAACACCCATAAGCACTGGCGCGGCGCACAACATCGAGTGGGGAACATACATCGGCAGCTTGCGCTTTTCTAATTTTTATGTTTCGCTGGAACATTTCAGGGTTCATGAAGCAAAGCGCAAGGGTCGCCATAGCCATACACGCCGGCACGGCACAGAATACGAACACGCTCTGATTCTTGAGCAGCCGAAGATAGTCCAAAGAGTCACAAGCATGTCGAAGAGCGTCCACGATCATGCCGCTTTGTATCCACGTTGCGTGTTCCACGTCGCCCTTTTCAAACATATCTTTCATCTCCTCGAACCCGTACTTGGCCCAGATCTCCCTTGGCCAGAAAAACCGCCGCTGCTCGACGTCTTCCCGAAAGTCACGGATGATGTTGGTCTTCTGTAGTAGAAGCCCCATAGAATTGGCGAGTTCCATTTGATCGCAGAGCCATGGGGATTCCTTTCCGGAGGCACCCCATATACGAGTGAGACCTTCACCCACGAGGCCAGCGACATAATGACAATAGAGGTCGTACTCGGCGACTGTCTCGAGGTATACCGAACCTGTAGTGGCAGCCTTATGGGCGTAGTCCGCCATGCCAACCTCCATTTTTTGGCAGATGTCAAGAATGATGGCCTTGTACCTAAGGTACCAGAAGTGAGGCAGTGAATGCATGCATGTGAAAAAATACGTACTGCGGAGCGAGACGGTTCACCTCCTCAACGACGGTATCATATTCGACTAGAAGTTGTCTATCCTTCTCGTCGGGGCCGTTACCAGAGAAGGACCAACCGGGCGTCACGGTCTTTTCGTGAAAAGCCCTAAGCATGGGTTGCTTGATTTCGTCCGCAATAGTCATATCATCCTCAATAGTGTCCAGACCCCGTAAGACCAAGTAGTAAATGCAAATCTGGTAGTAAAAAGAAGAAAAAAATCAGTTAATGGAGTGACCAGAAGCGGCACAATTCTGAAGTATGAAGCTAGCAGCGCCTGCCAGTTAGCGCGTAGAAGTAACTCAACTCACCGTTCGTGCAAGGTCTCCTTCCAATTCCTTTATAACTGCAGCAAAGCTTCTACTTGTCATGTCCAAGAATTCCCAACAGCGACGCATAGATGAGCGATCCCACCCAGAGGTAGGGTGCTCCTGCTTGGCGGTTATGTCGCGCTTCTGCTCGTGATACAAATAGAACTGAACAAGAAGTCTTAAACTCCGAAGGGTGGGTTAGGAGCAATACGAGTAACGAAGCGATCTTGCCCATGGCCGCAGAGAGAGGTAGGGGAGGATGGTGGTCAAGTCTGAAGGCGCTCCCGAGCAAGAAGGCGACGAACGGAACGCTCTGACTAAACCGGGATACCATAAATAGTAGTGACAACGGAGGTTCAGCACTCAGCCTACGAGCCTTAAGCAAGCACACCATGGACGACACCACCCGCCCTCCAGTGCGGTTGCAGGCTATCTCGTCTAAACCATTGTCACTAAAAGACACTCAACGCCACCTAGACGAGTTCCTAAGTGACCTGAAAAGGCGCAACGCGTTCGCAAAAGGCTTAGATTCCACCATTATCTCTCAATTGGAGAAACTCAATAATGCTCTTGGAGAAGAACGAGCTCGAGAACGCAATGACAGGTGATAACCAAGGCAAGTATGACAGCAGTACATTGCGTTTATCGTGTCCCAATGGTTTTTTCCCCCTTAGTCTTACAGGGTGCCAAGGTTCCCAGCGAATCCATAACCTCAGCGGTGTTCCACTGCTGATCGGTGTCGCATGATCCACTTGGAGGCTCGTTCATTGATCTTTGTTCCGGGTCAAGGAGTACTCGTTATTTACAGATACTGTATAACACTCATAGATAGCGAGCGTCACTCGACAATATACCTAATTCCTCTATCGGTGACTCTGGCTTGCTGCTGGTCACCGATCTGGACACGGTAAAGTATGACGTGACCTTCTACAGGCGCTTACTAAAAAAATATTATTGTTAAAAAAACCGGCTGTCAAGGGGTGCGAGGTTTGAACGAAGGGCAGCAAGTTCTTGTAAATCGGACCTGAGCCGAGTTCACCTGCATCTACATATCATAGCTGGACTTACTGTGAGTACTATCTGTCGCACGATAGTACTTCCACGAAAGGTTGAACCGTCTGATAGCGGATATGTAATTATCCCCTACAATTTACGGACGCTGCTTCGCAGCAGGAGTTTAACGTTCTGGAGAAAAAAGTTTTTAATCAGAGAATTTACATATTGTCTATAAATCCTTGCTAATTGGTCGTTAGTTTCAAGTGAATAATCTAGACGCCCAAGTTGACGTTGAATTCTGTAACTTGCGTTCAGGGTAGGCAGAAGCTCCGAAGTAACACGTTCGGCTAGAGCACTATTAAAATACTAGGGGCTCACAACAAGAATGCAAGCGAAAGCTTGTTTATGGCACTCCCACAAGTTCGACGTTGACCAGCGTTGACCTGGAATCCTTCCCTACACCACGTCACCCCTTGGAACGATTTTCCGCCTTTCGTTTTGATCATTCTTGCTGTACCAGTTCAAGGCTTGCAAGCCGCCGGTGATGTCGGGCGCCCTCGCAGAACTTGCTCACAAAATAGCCTATATCTGCATGTACGTTCTAATGAAAATACGTAGGGGCACAGTTGATCGATACCATTTACTAGGTGTTTCCTTAGGGCTGATGGTCGTGGAATTCGCTTGGTTGCTCCGAGACGAATTCAAATTCATTTGGCCGTGAGTTCCGTCAGCCCGAGCATCTGTCAAATGACGGACCACCGTTCACAGGGACGTCCGCTTCCGCAACCCATACGCGCTGGTATACATTCTAACAAGGTATCTAGGTCTGGCTGGACAAGGGTGAGGGACTCATGGACTCATTGCACTCCGTATGATTTGACACTTCGCAAGCTTTAACGTGTATTTCAGCCTGCGGATTGCTTCTGGTGTCGCCACCTCCCCCGCCCTTTGCAAGATGTGGTTCAGATATCAAGCCATGACCATTCAAGTACTTCTAGTTGCCATGGAATGTGCATTGATGCATCGAAGTAGGAATGCTCTCATTTGTGAGATGGCCCCGCTGATCGACGTCTAGTTTATGCTTTATTCCTCAAGAATCGTTGGATATTGGCTATTTTAATCATATTGGGCGCCTCTCAGTTGGCGTCCATGCTCGTTAGTGCACGGTTAGCAATACCCCAAGTACCACACTCAAATACCTGTTACGTCCTTAAGCCTCACGCTTCAACGATATACTTTGGGTGAGTTCTCCGGGCTTGGCCCTCCGCCATCGTTCTAACACAGAAAAACATAAGTGCTACGAGTATGGCGACGAATCTAGCTATTCTTTTCATGATTTCCTGGAGGTATCTGCGTCTACCTGTCACGTGGACGCATACCCCCCTCGGACATATCCTGCTACGTGACTCTACTCTGTCTCTTGTCGCCATCTTAGGTACGTCCCTCGTCCTGCAGCTCCTACTTTTTTTTACGGACTCTGTGATGTAGTTTTGCTTTTTATCATGATAATTTTAAACTCTGGCGTGCTGCAGACACCCATGAGTGGCAACATCCTGTACTAGTGCGTCTACCATAATCTTGTTTTCTGCGGAACCCAATTCTGATATGCCCTGCTCAGTTGGTTTTTTTGTACCATATGGATATCGGTCAGTTTGATTGACCTCCGTTAACTCGCCCTGACGACCGTTGTAGCTTGGAAGGCTAATTGTCAATCACTCCAAGGTTGTCCAAGCAGGCAGCGAAGAAAACTTGTTGACTCAGGTAGAAGTTGGCCAGACGAGCACATATGCGTCAACCGAGTCAAGCACTACTGGGCATAGGCGTACGACAGGCAGCCATGCTATCGACCTTACTGGGGCATTTCATGCTACCGACGCAGCTGAGAAGCAACCCTCGAGCCTGCAAAGTGCGCTGGCGCCTTGTATGGTTGGATCAAAAGTAGAGTCGCTTCAAGTGGGGACCAAGGAGAAACAGATTTCTATATCTTTGACATGCGAGGAGTCACCGCACGTCGAAACCAAGGAGAATTGAATACCCATGTCCCCGGTAGATGAGGTAAAACATGGATGCTCATGTACATAGTTGTCTATGACTAACCCACATTGATGGGCAACACTGAGGCACAATACTTGGAAGACAAGCCCAGGGTTCCCGTAAGAGAGCTTATCATATCCTTCTGATGACCCTGGGGTTGAGGCGTATTCTATTCTGTATTCCTAGCTGGCGGGTGGCTGGACTTGGCTTGAGAACTCAGGACAGCTTATCAACTACTTGAGTAATGTGTGATAGCGGCAGCGGTTTCTAGAGCACCCTGACGCGGTGCATGCACCCGATCCGCTGCAACTCTTTTGACTGCCATTATATTATGTGTCTGTAAGTTGTAGTATGATCTTGTGCAGTTCTCCTGGTGTGGGTGGCCGTAATTTATACCTCCACCCTTCACTCGCTGGAACTCAAGAGTTTTGTCAATTGTTTTTGAGTACATTGTCTTGGAATGTTTAGGGAGTGTTACACCTCCATCAACGCCTGAGCTACTTTTCGCGCATTAACTCTGAGTCCTTCTACCTGTAGTTCCAAGTTGCGAATTTTTTGCCTCGCCTCGCGAAGTTCATCATTAAGCCGGTTGACTTCTTGTTGAAGAGCGGTGTTTATCTGCACGAAGTAGGGGAGTACTTCTAAGCAGTCACGAACGAAAAAAAAAAAAGATTATGACATACTTCATCAGCTGAGGGAACATGTTGAGAATCAGTCGGCAGCGGCTCCGACCGGATAGGGGAGGAAGAGACCACCTGCGGTGCGATGATCGGAGGAAGAGAGGCAGATTTGGCAACGGTGGGAGTCACAGGTGGTGGAGGATTGGTAATGACCGGTTCTGGCACAGGTGCCATTGGAACCAACGTACGCACTATAGCCACAGGTGGAGGCACATGTGAAGGGACGTTGTCGCTAGCAAAGACCGTTCCGTTCTCAAGGCTAACCAAATTTACTGGTGCAGTCTTTCCTGCAAAGAACTCAGCTGCGGTCAAGGATGGTTCTGAGGAAGGCGCAGGAGGATATATATCCGATTGAAAGGAGTCGGACTTGAGAGACAGAGAAGCAGTCAGAATCAACTATGATCTTGAAGTCCAAGAGCCGAACAACTAACCCTTCTGGGCACGATAAATGCGATTGGTTCCACACCGTTATTGGTAACCTTGAAAGCTCGAGCAATCTCGCATTCGGAGACGTCAAGTGCGCGTCTCGGAAGGAAGCACATGCCACGTTGGGGCTCCCCGGTCTTGTGTTCAGCCAGCGCGTAGAGCGTGTCCGACTCATATTCGTAGTACCGGATGTTACCGTCGCTAACAAGGACACATTAGCTTGAAGGTCGAGGGAGGGTGAACAAGGCGAACCCTTTACCAGCTGCAGCACGACACGATCAGTCAGAGACACCTGTAACGTATTGTACCCCCACGTACCAAGGAATAATATTCCGTTATCGCTCCAGAAGGGCATCACGACCCCTGCGCTCTGATCCAGCGTGAGAGTTTTAACACTCCCAAGTCCTCCCGTCTCCCATATTCCAACCTGTCGATCACTCATCTTGCTAAAGCCAGTCGTTGCGATCCGATCCATGTCTCCCATCCAAACGACACGCGCGCCTTTGATCCCACCATGACCATCCGTGACGCGCATCGGCTCAGCACTCGCGCGCGCATCAAACAAACGTAGCTTTCGGTCACGACAAGTAGTGGCAATGATCGACCCTGTCGCATTGAAGGTAAGCGACTGAATCATGTCACCGTGTCCAGTCAACGTAGCCCTAGGTCGAGCTGGATCTGCAAGATCCCATAACTTTACACAATGATCCCCGGACGCAGTCGCGAGGACGTTTGTAGCTGTTGGGTGCCACAGGACTTGGCCTACCTTACGCGGACTCACGTCGACGCGTGCGACAGGTTCGAGATCGCGTGGTTCCCATCCGTCCAAATTCCAGCCATCAAACAAGCCATCGGGTACCTTCCAAAGGAGGCACGTGCCATCTTCAGAGGCAGAAGCGACAAGGGTATCGTTGGCCAAAGACCAAGCCGTATCGAGGACGGGAGCAGTATGTGTGCGTGCAAGTGGGATGATATCAGGGAGCTTGGAAGGCAGATCGTGGAGAGCTTGTCCAAAAGGCGAAGGGAGCGGAAGAATAGCAAATGCACCGCCTCCGGACGCCGACCAGTTGATACTGATGTAGCGCTAGCGAAGAAAACATTGAGCCTGTGGCCCTAACGGCGTGTAACCATACCACCTAAAATGACGCACGGTAGACGCAGAAATGAGGTTTGTATCCCAAGCGCTGTTGGATACTTTCACATTATCGTATCCGTACTCTCTCTTTCCTGCTTGGCCAAAGACGTGGCTAGGTTTTTCACGCAAATATCATTGCAGTCATTTAGTCAAAGATGTGTGAGGGCGGCTTGCGCGATGATGTGGTGATCTGGACATACCGATACTTGGACGCGCGCACGAATCTTGACATTGCCGAAAGATCTATCACGATCGAGTTGATGAGTGGTGTACGGTCTGGTGGTCAAGGACAGACAGTCGTGGAGACGGTTGCAGTGAATATATTGAGGCACCCACGCCGCAGCATCAACAGAGTTGTGATGCCCGATGGCCCGGCGATTATAATAAACCCTTGCAAAGTCAAACCAGTTAGATTGCGTGTGTTAGCTAAATAATCGATGGGTTGTAAATACGAAGGTGAGAGTGATACATCTAAATAAGCTAAATGATACAACAGGTTGCGCGGGTGAAGCAAAAGGCCTCGGGTGCTAAAGGACGACTGGTATATTGAAAGTGGAGACAATATAGCATCGGTTTAGCATTAGCTATGCTGCGTAGCATTGCACAGTTGCCACCAAGCAGCTGAAGTATGGTTCAGTCGTTGAAGTAGCAGGTCTGAAGACGCCGAGGACTCACTTGGGGCTAGTTTACTCTCTTGAATCGCAGCTTCAGAAGGCGCTTCGGCCATGACGACAGCGAAGCCACTGATACAACAATCAAAACGCGAAAGTGCATAATCGAAGGGTCACATACTTATGAAGGTGCCAATCGTTATGACTATTGTGGAAAGCACAATTTAGACCGATACCTAGCAAACAGGATCGACTCACCAGTGGAAGAACCAAGGTCCGGGGTTGTCAGTGACGAAGCGGATTGTCACATTATCGTTGGTTGCCTGGAGGCCGAGCGATACCGTGTCCCTCCGTACGGGATTGACGAAGTTGTATGAGCCATTACCTGCTACACGGATGACATCGAAGGCATGCTGAAAAACATTGGTCAGGCATTAGTGTGGACGCCAACAATGGGAACATGACTCACACCATGAAGATGCATAGCATGCTGAGGCAATGGTCAGTTACGAGCAAATTACATCGTTGAACGTCACTCACCGGACCTCCCAACGCCCCACCTGGCGTCAGATCAGTTGCTGGCATACTAATCTCCACGGTCTTATTGAACGGTAAGACATAAACGCTTCCGTTCGGTAGTAGCTGTGACGGATGGACTGCCCCACTAAGGATCTGCAAGAGTACCGGAAGCGACGGGTCCACAAAAGATACATTATTAATTGTGTACTGGGCTTGTCCACCACGCAGGCCGGGAATGAGATTGAGGTTGATATCCGCTTTTCCAGGTTGAGGGATGCCGGGGGCACCAGCCTTGTGGATCGGATGAAGCGCACTTTCATCGAACGGCAAGATATACGGCCCGTGTTGGGTCGTAGGGTCTTGGTCAGGGGCACCCTCGTACCTGAAGATGGCAGAACTTTGCCCTCCTTCGAAAGTCTGGTTCGGGTGATTGGACAAGGCGCGAATCCAGTAGTTGCCGACTGACTGGTTCGCAGTGATGACAACAGAATACCGCTGTCCAGCATAGACAGGTATCGAGTCGACAACTACTGGCTCAACCAAATTCCCGTCCGCTTCAATGATGGTCATCGGGTGTCCATCGATGGTAAAATTGAACCATGGGTCGCATGATGCACCAACAATCCTGAATCGGTAGCGTTTTCCTTGCGTGACGTTGACGACAGCGAGTGGAGACGCTGGTCCGTTGGGGTAACGCCCAAGGCCATTGATCAGGGTGGCATCCGGGTTGAAAGGACCAGTGTACAATTGGGGCGACAACGGATGGTACCTATAAATCCATAAGATTGAATCCGGAAAAGGAAGGGGAATTTCAGAACCCACCAATCAGAAAGTACGATCACGGTAGATTCTATTACGTACGATGAATCATAGAAATTGAAGAAGGGGGTAGACAACATACCGTCATCGACATCGTACATGTGAGCATAAGGGTCATTCGGGTCGTAGATAACCAGTGGGCCCCTCAACCCATCGCAGTACTGGGCAGAGAGATGCGAGTGGTACCAAAACGTTCCAGCTTGTTCATTGACAACGAACGAGTGTAGGAAGCTTCCGTTAGGCTGAATGGGACATTGGGTTACGAAAGCAGTTCCATCAGCCCAATTAGACTGATGCTGGAAGATGCCGTGCCAATGCTAGAAGACACTCATAAGTAATAGAAGGGACGAGATCTGGCGCGCGTCTACTCACGATACTCGTTGTCGTGTTCATAGAAGTATCGTTGAGCCGGTTGATAACATTGATGCGAAACTGGTCTCCCTGGCGTGCCACGAAGTTCACATAAGATATGATAGCCTGGCCAAAAAATCACCATACCTTTTGTGCAGCGATCAAGGGCCCGGGGAAAGTTCCCCCAGCAAGAACAGTCCTTCAAATTCAACAGCCGATCAGAAGTGTTCTTCGACATGAAAGGCGCTCACAGAAGCACTCACGGACGCGAATAGCCATCGGGCGCAATCACCTTATTCACGACCTCCAGATCTGTCACTGGGCCAAGAACATTTGCAGAAGAGCGACGATGCAGGGGCCCAATGACAGACGCCGCTGTCGACAAGTGGACAAAAAGAGATACAAGCGCGAGACTTGCCAAGGCTCGTAAAGAAACAGCCATGGAGACAATACAGGACTTTTTGGGTCCTGACCATCCCTCTCCCTCCTGCTTTTAACTTCCAAGTGTGCGGGCGGCACGGGGCTAGTGCGAGGACTTATGGCTGTTTCATCCTGAAAGTGTGTACCTCAGTAACCGCGCCGATTTGTCACCTCTGTGAGATGAGGAAAGCTGATTCATAGCAACAAAAGGGGCCCTGCTATGGCTGTTGCACAAATATGTAGCGAGGGAAGATGAAACAGACAGCTGACCAAGTGCGGCAAATACTTGCTTGCGACGCGTGGATGACAGACAGGAGCGCTGAACAGTGTGATACTTTCAGCAAGGTTGGTACAGGTTGATACTATTACCCTGTTATGTGGCGCATGAGGCGCAGAGATAATCGCACTTTAATCCCGTTAGAGTTAGACGGTACAGGCACAGCTTCCGTGCCAAGCCAACTCACAGTGCCAACCTCCACCGACTCAGTGGATGTTCAAAATGGACCCAGTCATGTCGAAATCTGACGAGTTGAAATCATTACCAAAAAGGTACAACTTTCAAAGGCTTTCAAAAACCACCCATGAAAGCTTTCCGAGCACACGGAGGGAATTTTGAGACCAACAAGTTCCCTGGGCGATGAGAGCCAAGACAGTTGTGTATTCTTGTTTGTAGTAGAAACTAAGGCCGACCAATAAGTGCCGCGCACAGCCGCAGCACAGCATGTAAGTCTGTCAAGATAAATATTTATGCAAATCTTTCTAGATGGCCTCCCTGACGTTGCGCGCCGTTAAGCACTGGGATCTCCTTAAAAAGTCGGACACCAACTGTGCCCGTGGCTCGGCAATAAAATGAAAAAGTTCAATAATATTCATGTGTAAAACCGGGTAATACCCCATGACTCGTTGCACGGGACAGAAATAAGCCCGTGCCAAAAGTGAGCGCATAGCTCCACCAGGGAGACGACAAAGGAAGGGAAACAAGATTCTAGACGAGAGCTTCCCCACCAACACATCCAAGCAGCGTAGCATCTACACTGCCGCCCGTCCTCTCTTCGAGCCACGCATCTAATTCCTCGAACAGTTTCATCGCAGGATTACCATCTGCCTCTAACTTTTTCGCAGGCCACATTCGCTTTTCATCAATGCCGATGAAATTGACTTTGAGACCTTGAGGCGATGCATTTGCCATTTGCTCAGGCGAACCCGGCGTCGGGTACTTGATCAGCATGGAGACGCCCCAAGTCTCGGTTCCGTAAAACGACGCTTCCTTGATATGGTGCCGAGCAAACTCGTCAGGTGGGTCATTGTCTAACGTCCACTCGAGAACATGTGCATCGAAGGCGATGACTATCCAGGACGTTTCAGTACCACACCCACACACTGGAAACGGGGACCACGGGAAACAAAGCACAAAGCCGTACCTGTCCAGATGATTCCAGGGTGGTCTATTTTGAGTGTCAATCGTCTTGTACCTGCGATGTCATCGACACTGTCGTTTGTGGCGATTACTGTGAACCGTCGTTCCGCCGGTACGGGAATAACGGGGGCAGGATCAAGTGGTAGATCAATTTTGTAGGGGGAAAGGAACTGTTCCGGAAAAAAAAAATTCCGCGGTGTGCGATTATTGCCACGTGAGTGCCAACCTTCGAGATGGCGGCGGCGGAGCTCACCGTTGAGAAGGGATACAGGATATCCCAATCACCATTATGATCGTCCATAATCACCCTTCTCGGAGGGACACCTTCCACACCGAACCTCTCTGCCATCGCATGGACGAGGGTGTCGAACCCTGGCGCACCATCCGCCGTGGCAATATGGAGGTGTTGATCTCCGGTCATCATCTAAACACCGCATCAGTCAGTCGTGGATGTCAAGTTCACAGCACGTCCGGCAACAAAACCAAAAATATGCTAGAAATATTTATTTGATTATTTGGGTTGCCGATTGCAGAAAAGAAGGCCATCACAAGTGCTGAGCGCTGAGCGCTTGAGCCCCCGTTTCCAGGAACACGCAATGCAATGGAGGGTTCATCAAGCCACGACACAGTGCCCACGGCCCCAAAAGGGAAAAGATAGGGGTGTCCACGATTCGCCATCCATGTGACGCGAGACAGGAGGTGGAAAGTCACCGAAATGTGGGAACAAAAATTGCAGGTGCCTGAAGCACGAAGCCCCAGATCGACCATAAAGGTAACAGGCACCACCACTCCGGACGGGTTTAGTGTAGGCGGAAAATAAAATGAATGAAGCTAAAGGCCATACACTCACATTGTCTTTATGGACCACAAACAACCGCCTCTGATGCATTCGATCGAAAGGATCCTGTACGTAAAAGAACGCCATGACCAAACCGAGGCTCACGATGGACAACCATAGCATTTGCCAAAGGAAACGCGGGCCGAAGCGGTGTGCAAGTGCTGGCGTGAAGGAGACAGAAAACGCACCGAGAATGGAGACGATGGAGGCGATGATGAACTCCGCCGGAGCATCTTTGCCGAAGCGGCCCGTCTATGCGTATGTGCGGTGCGTGAAGTGCATACATAGATGCCCAAGAGATGAAATTGTGAGCGACATTACCGGAGCGCCTGACCGCCTACGGGACGTACCAACGGAACGAACACAACCAGCGTCGCAGCCAACAATTGCACTCCCACCGTTAGAGGTATCAACATCGCAATCACGTATGACCACAGCGACAACTCTTGCCCGGCTGTTCCGGCTTGACCCTTTCGCGGATGGTTTGCAATGGGTTTATCCCCGTTGAGAGACGACAGTCGCGTGCGCGGTGCCAAGGCAGTGTCTATGCACAACGCTACAAAGAATCCGAGTGCGCCTAGGAACAAAGCAGCGCTGGATCCGATATTCAGAATTTGACCAAAAGCGGCTAAGAAAGACTGAAAGAGGAGTAGAGCCATAAAGATCGGACGTTCCATGGAAGGTTTCCCAGGTCCACTAAATGGTAGTTGTGCGATCAACATCCCTATCTCCACCATCAGCAAACTTGTCACGCATGGTCGCACGCGGGAGAAAGTAAGGGGCGAAGAACGCACCGGAAATGGCTGCCGGTGCATAAAGAAGTAGAGGATGATATTCCGCTTTGAACCAGCTCAGAGGTTTCTTCAATACGTACTTCATCAGGAAAGCAACAACGTTTGCTGCCAAAACGGCACCCGCGATCGCTGCAAACACCGCTCCAAACCCTGCTCCGATTTTCTGTACCCGTGCAATACGCCACAGGGCAAGCGACGCAATGAATAACGACACGTACATGATCTTCGCAGTCGTAAAAGAGTACATGAAAAACCAATGAAGACTGGACATGAACACGGTACGGGGGCGAGCATCGAAGCCTTCAGCGAGGCTTGGGATGGGGGAGTCACTGGAGGAGAGGTAGCGGAGGAGAGCGAGGGTGTTGTCAGCCATGTGTTGTGCTACGCCGGGCTGGATGTTCTCGACAAGGTCCTGGTAACAAGGATGACGCCTACGATCGACGGCGATGGAAGGTCAAGGTACGTACCCCTCGCATGTGATACATGTAACTGTTCCCGACCACTGCCATCTGAAAATGAATGTGGATGAGTGAGAATGTCGAGGATAGAGAGGGTAGTACACACGTCCAGACCGGTCACATTGAGGTACTGTTCAAACTGTCGGAAGTCGGTGCTAAACAGTGTCATTAGCCGAGAATGATAATGACCACAGGGCCGAAGTAAACGCACTCTGAGAGAAGAATGCCCGAACTGAATATTTCGTTTGCAAATATGGTGCCGTAGGGTCTGAAAGATAGTTAAAGGCGACACGTAGGGAGGGATGAACCTATCAGACAGACCTAGGGACATGGGAATACGCCTCGATCATCTGCTCCGAGGTAGCTTGGAAGAGCAGTGTGGGACCTGTAGTTCCAGCGGCTACCATGGGATCGCACGATAGATTAGGTCGTATGCAATGCCCCTGGTCGGGGATACGTACCCTCAAGATTAACGGCAGCTCTCACGCTGGGTGGCAATAAGAATAAGACGCCGACATAAATGAGTGAGAATGAAAGACGGACGTGGGTGCCGTTTCGTGCTGAGTCGAATACAGGTGGGAGCCATCTTGGAGAGACTCTTCCGCATTATTGAATACTGTCCAAAGGCATCAATGCAAAGCCACATCAACATCCTAAATATACGGGAGCAAACCCACGAAATATGATGGCATAGGTCGGTTCCCACCCTGGGGTTTCTATCAGTGTTCGTGCACATTCGAGCATGACCCCCACGGCGAGCGCATCGTCTGCTGCGCCGGGGCTTGGTAGGGTGCTGTCGAGATGGGCATTGACGAGGACTGCGTCGGATTTCGAGCGCTCAGTACCGTCAGATATCCGGAGGATGATGTTGGACAGATCGACGTAGGTTTTGTACAAACGTGTTGCCATTATGTCGAACCTAGCATAGTCCAAAGCAGACGAACGAGGACGTGAAGGGGTGGGAGCATTCCAAAGTTCCTGAATAAGTGATTCGTTGCCAAGAAAGACGCAGACTCACCGGTGACTCCCGCTACCCTGTTGTCTCCATACATTGCATTCTAATTTTCTACCAGGCTCTTTTTCTATGGCACGACGACAAAGTTCCTCGACTTCCTGGACTTTATGGTACCACCACGTGTCAGCTTGGGCGTGTTGGCGGGTTCCAGGAGTGCGATAGCCGATATCTTCTGAGAGATATTTGGCATAGGAAAGGATTGTTGATTCCGAGGGGTGGGGGAGAGAAGTGGTAGGGTCGTAACTGGGTGTTGGAAGGTCAGTGCTATGGAATTGGAGACGGGAGAGGGGAGACTTGCGGGTGGATGTTTGGAGTTGGTAATACTAGGGAGATGACGGGTGTCAGCGGTTGACAGGCTTGGGGGTCGCCCGGGAGGGAACTCACAAAACTGATGATAGAGGGTATACAGAGGTGCACCGAGGAGGACGGGGGCCAGAACAAATATGGTCCGTGCAGGACCCCAGCGGCTCACACCCATCAGACGGTCAGTGCGTGGTGGTATCGAGCCTAGTAACAGCTGGGCTTCGAGTGTACCTTTCCCTACGATGATATCAACTATCCAAGGGTAAAACCGGTGTCAGAGTCTGATGATGTCCTGCTAGTCCCGCGCCAACTAGTACTAAGTAGTCCCCACTGCTGCACACACACACACGCACACAACGCCAACGTGGCGTCGAATGATCCTCAATCCACCGTAGTATGATATATGATGAGACGCGCTAACAACAACCAGACATCGACGCCCAAAATCATCATCAGACCCCGCGCAGCCCGTGCCAGAACAACGGGCACGCCATCCACACGTCGCTCTCGCACGCCAGCTGCACCCACACCGCCACCGCTGCAGTCAACTGAACATGACGACGACGATATCCTCATGGAGGACGAGTCGGATGTACGCACAAAACTAGAAGAGCCGGAGGACATGTTGGATGAAGAGGAAGGTGAAGCCGAAGCCGACGACGGAGGTGCTGAGGAGGGAAGCACTGTCGGGGACGACCAGGGCGAGGGTGCGCCATCTCTCCCGCGCGGTAGGGGTAGACCGCGTGGTCGTGCCCGAGGTACCACTGCATCGACTCCCACACGTGCACGCGGTCGAGGGAGGGGCAGGGGCAGGGGCAGGGGTCGGGGAAGGAGTACAACAGGTTACGGCGGAGAAGCCGACGGCGACGGCGATGAGGGTGGCGATGAGGACGGTCGTCCGTGGCGCAAGATTGGAGACAGAATATATTACATTGAAGCAGACGAATTCGTCACAGACTCAGACGAGAAAGGCGACCAAAAGATCGACGCAGACGGGAATTTACTCGGTGGTGAGTGGTAGCTTCAGCTTACCCCCCGTTCGTGCAAGTCTCATTCTCATGCGTTTTACAGGCCGACGGTTCAAATGCAGCACCTTCATCCTTCCAGGTCGACATTCTTCACGGAAATACATGCTCGCCATCGACGCTGCTCGTTCTTCAGGATTCAGAGACTCGTTATACTACTTTCGCAAAAACCCTCTTGCTCTCAAGCTACTTGCCACACAACCCGAAAAAGAGTTTCTCATCCAACTTGGGAAACTCGGCGCCCACTTGAAAACGCGAAGCGTGACCCTCGTCACCGCGCGGAGCGCCTACAAGCTCCATGGTGCCAAGATGATCATCGGTACGTCTCTTTCCTTCTTCAAGACCCCCGTTTTACCCGATTTGTGTGCTGTCTTTGATAGATGGCCGATGGGTAACGGACGATTATTATGAGGACCGCGCCCTTCAAGACATCACCTCCAAAGGTCTCACACCCGGTTCACCCGTGGGCGAACTCCCCGACCCCCTTGCCACTTCCCAAAGCGCCCTCCAATCCGCCGGTACCGTACCTAACCAATTCTCCTCCGGGGTTTCGCACGGCGTCTATCGCGCCGGCGGACCCACGACTCTATTCGGGGGCACAGGGCTAGGGCCGTTCAGCGACGGTCCGCATAGTGCGGTCAGGAAGAGTCTGTTGACGAGGGAGGGCTTGACGGTTGAAAATTGGATGTGGGAAGCTGCAAGACGAGCATGTGACACAACGGAAGAGTATGGCAGGATGAGAAGGGAGGCAAGGGTTCCGTATGGAGGCGTGCTGGAGAATGCGCTTTCCAAGGTGAAAGAGAAAGACAAGGAAAGAGAAGGCAATGTTACGAAGACGGAAACGGAAAGCGGTGACTTTCCATTGGGAGTATATGAACCGCACACGGGCATCGTGCATTGTAAGCTCGTTCCCTTTACTTTCTGCCACTTTGCCAACGACACCCCGTTTGCCGCCCAGACCGTGCGGATACCCAACCTACTCGGTGTCGTTGGGAACAGGTCGAAACACACCGCGTGTTGGGAGGGACAAAAGTGGGAAATGGGGCCTGGGGGTTGGCATGGGTGGACACTTGTTTGGAGTCGCCAGAGTCGGGAAAGAGCACGACATGAACGAGTGCAACGCGTGTCGATTGGAGTTCCTCAAGTGCCAATATTGCTTGTAGCGAATTTTGACATGGGCCACATCCGGGCTCAACCCCCGTGAAAAGTAGACATGCGTCTAGACGCAGGTATGTATTTATATATATGGCAAAGTATGCACATCCACTGTAATAGTGCACCACAGTACTCAGATCATACGGTCCTGTGCTTCTGAGTGATTCAACCAACCACCCAGCAATTACTCCACTGTTAGCACGCCGGCTTACCTGAGTCCAGATAATCAGTATATGCGAAGCCTCAAACTGCCACCTCTGGTATATAGTACACACGCTGAGGAAACGAGGCGATTGTTTTGAGAAGCCACCAACGAAGCTGTGGACGGTCAGTCAGTCCTCGGCTCAGCAACGAAATCCCGCCATGGTGGATGCCAGTCCGAAATGGGCACACAAGCTAAGGCCTCTGGAGCCGCAATAGCGTTTCGACCCTCCTGATATTGAATATCTACTGCGATTGCAATTAGCACACGCACCCCACACCTCGTAATAAACACTCACGGGAGCGTTCCATCAAAGGACCTGTGAACCTAAACGTAATGGAACGTTACAGTACCTGATCGCCAGGTCCGGTATGCCCGATCTCCAACGAACACCTGGTCACTGAGTGGCTGAATCGGACTCACTACAACATCAGAGTATCAAGAGGAAGCGCATGGCTTGTAAGAGTTCACCAGATGTTGTTGAGTCTCGGCTCCATTCAGTGTCCTCCAATGTTCCCGTGTCATGATTCTGCGGTGCTTTTTTTTTTTTTTTGCTTTCCACAAAAGCTGCGATCTACACATGTAGTAGGATGCTTGAAGATGGTGCTGCAATTTGAATTTGATTGCCACTAGGCGTAAACAGAACCGATCAAGATCAAGTTCTTTATGTTATGTAATCTATGAGTCAGACGTCTCGGTACGCTCACTGTCAATACTATCGCTTACCACACAATTTGCCTCCCCAATAGTTGGCCGGTTTTTCAAAATGATGACTTCTTTCCTAACAACACACTTTCTGTTGGGTCACATGTCATGAAATATGTATCCTTAGGTACTACGAAGTTGAATGACATCGATTCACTGAGCATTTGTTGAGATAGCAAAAACAGTGTGACAAGCAGAGGAATCACGCCTGTGATGGCCAGACTTGAAACTTTGGGATGACGATGCGTTACATTCTGTGACATTTTGTGACGGCCAACTAGTGGGGAGGCAAACTGTGTGGTAGGCGATAGTATCCTTCAGTATCCTTGGCAGGCTGGCAGCGTAATCTGCACGCGTCCTAATAAACCCCCCGCGCGTCAGCTTCGGCCAAATTGTTACTCCGAGCCCATAGTACTGACAATGCCGCAGGACTTTAGGAAATTCTGTGCGCTCAAGCCTTGAATTTGACCAGAAAGGCTGTAAACGGTGGAACCTGTCTCGGAGGAGCCCCTCAGGGGTCATCTGGCAAGTGAAATGTCTCCGGGATGGATGGTGCTGGCTGTGCAAGCCCAAGACTCGGCACAAAATTGGAATCAGACTTAATAATCTGGTGACTGATGGTAGGAAAACTCGGTCCGAATCACACTTGCAGCCCCCCAGATAGATACCTCAGTCTGCTCATAGAGTTCGGGGGGAAATTCAGCCGATGGCTACTTTGGTATCTATTATCCTGGCGTTTTCCTGTGACTCGGCGTGTAACAGGCAACCCGTTGGTCCTTGTCTGAGCTGATACTAACTTGGTGTATGTATGCCACGTCTGCGGTGTTGTCTCGCTGCCAAGGACCGCTTAGATCATGACATTCGCCATGCGGCCCGTCTCCAACGTCGCGTTGGTGAGATTAAACGGAGACGGCTCACGCTCTGTCATGCACAGGTTGTTAACCGACACAGTACCCATACATAAGGGTCCTGCAGGACAGAGACCGCTCCTCACCAGCCACCCTTTCCCTCGTTGTGAGTATTTGGTTACGATGTATGCTGCCCTGGCGTTCGTCTTGTCGTCCGTCTTACAGGCGTATGCGGCAGCCATCGTTTCGCGCTCAGGCTGCCGGCCATTACTCCAACGATCAAATGTGATTGACCCAGTTGCGCATCTCAGGATCGTCAACAAATACATTGCGCCTGATGGGTTCAACCGATCGTGCGTGAGTTCTTAACGTGTTTCGCCTCTTAAATCGAACGAATTTACAGAACAACGCTGGCTGGTGGAACATTTCCTGGGCCTCTCATCAAGGCCACCAAAGTACGCATTGAATCCATCTCTTACCGTTAGTCCAATATTTACGCGTTACTTCAGGGAGACCGCTTTTCCCTCAATGTAGTGAACGAACTTACGGATCCAACCCAGTTCCTAAGTACCACCGTTGTAAGCATACACGTTCTACCGGTGGAGCTGCCTCTCATGCCTACTGTAAGCATTGGCACGGGTTGTTTCAGAATGGAACAAATTACGCCGACGGAGTGGCATTTGTTACTCAATGCCCCATTGCGCAGAATAATTCCTTCCTTTACCAGTTCGAAGCACGGAATCAGGCCGGCACTTACTGGTATCACTCTCATTACTCAACCCAAACTTGCGATGGGCTCAGGGGGCCCCTTGTAATATATGACCCTGAGGATCCTATGTCTTATCTATATGATGTAGATGATGGTATGCACTGAGAGTCCTGGCCGCTGCTCAATCTGACCTCCGTGCAGAAACTACGGTCATTACTCTCGCAGATTGGTAAGTTGGATCGATCCTTCTTTGTGCCTGCCTATATATAACGGATCATTTCAGGTACCACCTATACCGCGCCGGTACTCAATCACATTATCGGAGTTAATCCCAACTCGACTCTCATTAATGGCTTAGGGCGCTTTGCTGGGGGACCGCAGTCCGACCTTGCCGTCGTCAACATCGAATATGGGAAGCGCTACCGCTTGCGCTTGGTGGGCATGTCCTGCGACACGCACTTCATTTTCTCCATCGATGGACACACATTTACGGTCATAGAGGCGGATGGCGTCTTGACCGAACCGTTACTGGTTGATTCCATTCAAGTCTTCCCAGGTCAGCGTTATTCCGTTGTGTTAAATGCCGACCAATTGGTGGGTAATTACTGGATACGCGCATTGCCCAACCTCGCAAACGCTACATTTAATGACGGTATGAACTCTGCTATTCTGCGATACCAGGGTGCCCCTGTTGCCGACCCTTCGACCAACCATACGGCGAGTGTGATGCCGATGTTGGAAACCAATTTGCATGCCCTCAACCACCCCGGTACCCCTGGGGTTCCCGGCTACGGCAATGCGGATATCAACCTCAAGCTGTTGGTCAACAACACGGGTGGCGCATACTCGATCAATGGTGTCCATTACAAGCCTCCGAGTGTTCCAGTATTGCTACAGATTTTGAGTGGTGCTCAGACTGCCGTGGACTTAATGCCGAACGGCAGTGTAATAACCCTAGAAGCCAACAAAGTAGTCGAGTTGACGATGACTACGATCGGATTCGGCGGTCCCGTAAGTAGTTCTACACTTAAGTTCCTTAAATCACGCACTGATCGGTACTCCTTCAGCATCCAATTCATTTGCACGGGGTTTGTATATCTCTTCTCTCGCGACCAATTATATTGACGAGTACCCTATAGCACACATTCGATGTCATACAAAGCGCCGAGAATACGTCGTTCTTTAACTACTTGAATCCTGTGCGAAGAGACGTCGTGTCGGCTGGTTCCCAGGGTCAGCAGATGGTAATACGATTCGTGACGGACAATGCAGGTCCTTGGTTCTTGCATTGGTGAGACGATTTTCTTCGGTAAAGGACTTATGCTAACCTACAATCCAGCCATATCGACTGGCATCTTGAAGCGTAAGTTGAACTTTTCTCCGGCACTTACGCACACTGCTGACCTCTTTCCGGCAGTGGCTTTGCTGTTGTCATGGCCGAGAACCCTCCTGGTGTAAGTGGCCACGTCGGTAAACTTCCTAGTAAGTCTATACCGTCGCAATTGGGTCGGCACACGGAATGCTCAAACGTTTACCAGGCGCATGGGACAACCTGTGTCCGAAATACAACTCGTTGACACCATCGCAGGTAGGAGGAACTAACTCATACGAGCAGGCGAAGAATATCTCGACGCTTTTGTTCCCGGACTGAGTATATATCCGTACAGTGGCTCAGAGTATTATTATGGTAAATTGGATGGATGGACAGCTTGGAAGTTGTTATACATATTACCTATAAACAGGTACACGAATTATTTATTTAACATAATTTATCGTTGTAGCTGCACGGTGTACATACCAAAGCCCTCCGGGCGCTCCTGGACGCATTTGGAGGGAGCGTGTGGTGTCCATAGATAGTTATGAAGTCTTGCAAACGACAGCACTACAAGGAGGGAGTGTTACTTATCAATGTAAGAGATCTGTTGTCCATCGTGTGTGTGACGGAACGGGAAGCTGTATGGTAGTGGAGTTTTACGAATGAAACCATTGCGGGGAGGGAAAAGACCTGGAAGATAGGGGTGGGACGCATAATGAAGTTATGTCGCAAATTTATTTGGTCCATTGTCACGTGCCCCCATTGTAAGCAGCATGTAATGGACCACTTGCCATTATAATGGTCAGGGTTTGGCTAGATTATAGCAAATATGTGATATTTTATCTAAGATATAGTGCAAATGTGTAAAATATTATGTACAAATACCCATTTTTGGCAATCTTTCAATGACACATGGGTGGCATTGGCATGGCTTATAACGGAAGTGTGAACAGCCACCCTTAACATGTATTATAAGGTTCTTATCACGTGCCCAAGAAATTTGCGACATTGAGCTGCTGACTTGGCCCCCAAGTGTCCAAATAGCGTCGACGGTACCCACGCGACCCTGCATTTCACACCTCTGGATAGCTCTGACATTTGCAAGTTTTCTCTCTATCGAAGTAGCTGGCAGGTGCAAGACATAGCCCGTCCCCCCCCTCTGCACGTGACCGGAGTTAACGGTCCGGTATGATCGTGAACGACAAAGAGTTTACAGACCTGGGCCTTACGGCATCCAGGAATACCAAGGCACGTGACTCAAAAGATCGCTCCTCGTTGAACGATCCGCGTTGCCAGTATTCTTTCCTCCAATACCTCATGGATAAAACACCAATCACCAACTTTGCTCTGCGCCTGAGCTCGACCAAATCCACCGGCCAACAGAGCGAAAAAGGCTTCCAAGACGTCACGGCCCCCTTTCAATTCCTCACGGGTAATAACCAGGCGTCGAAGTCGCAAGGGTTTCACTTGGCCGGTCCCAGTTTTCTGCGCTCGAGTTTTAATCTAGCTGAGAACCCGAAGACACATGAAAACACGCCAACGAAGGAGTTTAATGCTGAAACCAATTACTCCCCATTCCGATTTCCTGGCCTACGTGCCGGCGGGAATCTCACCTCGACAGGTGAGGAGAAACCTACAGTACAAAGCGTGGTACGTATCGTGCTCTCCCTACACAAGACTTTTAAGTTGCCTTGGGATGTGGATACCGCAGTCTTGCGAGCAAGTGGTTCAAGGTGAGTATATGCGCATAAAATGTTTTGAAATCCTTCCGGAAACGCGTAAAAGGCGCTCACAAGCTCGTTCACGGCTTCTCGGCATTTCGGCATTCCACTTCAGGATTCGATCAAGGCCTTGTGAAGCCCAAGGAAGAGTCCGCGGAGACCTTGCCGACAGGGACTTCTGAACCGGAGGAGGACCTGTTCTTGACGATTACGACTAAGTATCGTCAGGCGCAACGGGAGGCAGCGAGGCAGGTTGGTGTATTTCTGCTGAACTTCAGGGGCGAATGTAAGGTCTCGTGTGCAGCGTGAAATTAGCGCAGAATTGGAAGCGCAACTCACCAAGAAGAGCGAAGAAAATGCAGCACTTTCTATATCCGTTGCAACTCAAAAACAAACGCTTCACAAGGTTACGGAAAAGAATGGATTGTTCCCGAATTTCCTATCCCCATCAACTCATAATCACTCCTACAGGTATTCTGAATTGAAGATTGAACTAGAAAACTTGAAGACAATTTCGACATCATCTGCCGCGTTTCTTACTGAAGCAAAGGAGACAATGCGCGGCTTAGTAGACCTGAGGGATGAGGCACAGTTCGGCCTTAGAGGTACGCTCTCGGTTGCAATGTTGTGGCTATATTAGACAGGCATTTCAGGCCTCGAATCCGCATTTGATGACGATGGAAAGCTTATACTGACTTACGAAACGAGAACCACGGTGGAGGAACTTCGCTTAGAACTCTCGAAAAGTAGGCAATGTCGTTTGGATGACCGGAGGATTATTTGGTGACAACACTCCGCGGCAGCCCAGCAAGTTGCTGATCTTCTACGCGACAAGTTGCATAGTATGGCTTCCGAGTTGGCCGAAGCGCGATCTCGGGTTTTGGAGCTGGAAGGTCTGGTAGCAGGTGATATGCGATCCGTCGAGAATATCACTTTACAGCTTCAGGATTCCAGTGCGTTAACAACTAATTTAAAACAATGCAACACTAACACGCATCTCAGCGAAGCACATATCAACATTGGTAGGTTATTTGCATGAACAGAGAAATGAGTCTGTCCGTGCTGCGGCGGAGGTATATGAAATGCTGCAGCAACTTAATCATGCGAGTGCACGGTACGTCGTGATGCGTTGCAGCAGAAGTCATTAATTTTGTGGCGTAAAGCGTGAAAGAAGTAGAATCCGAACTCGCGACGATGACACGGCGGTACATTCTTCCATTCCATTCCTCGCTTCGTCATGCTCATATGCTACACAGGTTTTCCGAGTGTCGAGACACTGCAGAGGAACAGAAAGTCCAACTGCATTTACTTCGGAACACAGTTGCCTTCCAAGAAAGTAATTTAAAGGATTTGGAAGCGAGGTGAATCGAAACTCGAATGTCACTCTTGTGCTTTTCTAAACTCTGTTCCCTAAACAAGAGCAGAGAAGGCTAGCGAAGATTTGCGCCAGGCGTTGGGTCAGTCACGCGAACTGGAAGTCCGATTGGATGCCGCCAAGGACCGTGAGAAGAATCTCCTTGAACAAAACCAGCTCCTTCTATCAGAAAGGGACACCGCCAACCAAACCTTGAGGGCCTTGCAAAATCAGACTGCCGAGGCGCACATGCGCGAACTATCACTGTCTCGTCAGTCGTCGAAGATCACAACCGAGTTGGACATCGTTGTCGCGAAGAACAAAGATTTGGAGCAAGAGGCAAACTTGTATCGCAGAAAGTGAGGCCACCGTCTCCCAGTGTACTATGTACATTCTGAATGACTCCCACGAGACACGTGGAATCTTCAGGCGCTCTTAAGGCATGAGAAATCACTTTCATCTCGTGCTCTTTAAGCTGAGACTAAAGTAGGCACTCCAAAAGCAATTTGATGAGCAATCCGTCGCGCTTGGAAACCTCCAGGTAAACTACTCGAGGTATCAGATATCTGCGAGCGCACTGACGATCAGTAGGAACAACTCCATTCCGCCGAACTGCGCACATCCGTGAGTTTCTATTCCATCCTGTAAGCCCTTCCAAGTAGATGGTCTTTCCAGGAGGTAGCGAGCGACTTCAAAAGCGAAATTGCCTATCTCCGAGAACAGAAAGGGTCGCTAGAAGCTAGGCTTGACACCGCCTTGCGAGAGGGAAATGCCAAATCAGATATGCTAATAGCTTTGCGGACGGAGGCGTCCCGCAAAGAAGGTGCCATTGAAGCCCTGTTACACGAGGAGAAGCAACGAGGAGATGAAGAACGCCGTCAAATCGTGGAGACCGAATCTAAAGTCCAATCACTTCACAGGGAACTCGACCTAAGGAACAAACGGGTACAGGACATGGAAAAGTGCCTGGCAAAACACGCGGATGAAGTGGCAAAACTCACATCACGTGTCGCGGAGTTGGCTGCGACGGAGCAGGCGTTGTCGATTAGGGCAATGACTATTACTCAACGCTACGCGAAGAATGACTTGGTGAATCCCTTCTATTCCTCGGTTTTCCCAGTGGCAACAACAGGAACGCATTTCCTTGTAGAACGATGACGAGAAAGCTCTGGTGACGACGTTGATGCAGAAGGCTCGTACTCTCCATGATCGGGAAATAGTGGAGAAAAGCAACGAGATTAAACGGGTAGGTTCGGAATAATATAACTTTCCTGAACAACACTACCGCTTGTGTGTACTCGTAGCGCGATAATCTCATCAAGCAATGTGAAGCAAGGATCTCGCAGCTGGAGCGAAACCTTGCGCGGCGCATTCACGAGGTCAGCTGAGTTGTTTGGGACTACATTCTTCCCATACATTTATCACTACACAGCCACAAATATACTCTACCTCGGAAGTCATCGCTACTCACACCCTAGTAGCAGATAGTCCACTGACAGATCCTGAAACGAAATCTGCAACAGGCCTAGAAGACCAACCCGAGGGCCAGCTTACACTCCCGAAGGCTAATCCCTTTCGTGATGTTCGCTCGTCCAAAGTGCCTATCCATCCCACAATCCTATCAACTTCTCCAAAACAGCTACCAAAGTGTCTGGGCTTCTCCAATCTGGCAACAGAAAGCAACGATAATTCCGAGTCGCCCCGTGGCAACCACCTTCTCGACACGCCTGTCCATCCTGTCGCCACACCGACTTCATCGAAACAACTAGCAGGTAGTCTGAGCTTTTCCGAACTAACAACCGAAAACGACAATAGCGCCAGATGTGGCGAAGGATGCCTACCAATGAGCAGCAAGCGTGCTACGTTTGCGGAAGGCGGAATTGAAGCATCGACGTCAAGGCCGGCCCGTCGTCGGGTGAGTAATTCCCACTGCAACGACAGTACCAGCGGATTTGAAACCATGTCTTTCGTTCCTAGAGGTGTTCTAAACCAACTGAAGGTGACAAATCGGTGGACAAGGTTGGCGTGTAGTGCATCCAAACAAGGCAGTTCCACTGTTGATTGTTGGGTTTCTCCCTTTAGGTTCCCCAACCGACGGCGAAGAAAAAGGCCACGAAAAGACGATAAAGCAATTCGCTGTTTATTTTTCCAGCCTATCCCTGACACACGTTACCATCTCTGATCAAGTATGCAGAGACTCCACGTGATGAAAACCTAGTGTGCTCATGGCGACGATAACGATGGATTACAATGTACAACTCTACAGGAATTGCCTCTGCTCTCTTGGAACAATTCTAGGGAATGCGACACGTAGGTAGAAGGCGACATGAAGAGGAAGCACGAGTATTGTATTCTTACATAAGCACCGTATGCGAACCATGGAGTATGTCCTCATAATGAAATTCTGGTGAATGGACTTCATACATCGCTAAATTCGTCGGACAGCTTCACCCAGCGCACGATGCTCGATGACAGACTAAGGAAGGCAACCGCTACTTCGACCGATGAAAATTTGAACACCCCATAAGGACGTCAGGCACTGAGGCACCACGAAACATAAACAACTAAACGCGGGTCATATGTACGTCGTGGATGCTCGTCCCGCGTTATAAAGCAATATGTCGACGAGAGTTAGTAAGAGCTGCTGTCCTCTGATACATGTCATTAGAATTACCAGAGAGTCAACATGGACCGCCTTCCACCCCCACCTTACGTAGTTTCCAAGGAAGTGCTTATTTCTACTGATTAGTACCTACATACACTTAAAACGGTCGACTGTAAGGTGTGTATCGACCTGACCATCCAGCGCGGGTGAGGCAGAGTAATAGTGGCCTCACGTCCGAGGATGATAGCAACTGAACCGCCTGCTTTGGCTGGAGAAGCAGAGATAAGCCGACTCGATACGGTAGAAGAGTGTATACCGTGCGCAGCAACTCGCACGGTTGGCTTTCGACCATGGCAACCCGATAATAGATGACGGTTTTGGTTTTTTTGTTCCTCTCTTTCCTTGCAGTAGTATTTCACCCGAACACGCTCATGTGAAGGCATAGGATCGCTAAACCTGACCGAAAGGTAGCAGTACATCTGATTATCTGGATCTAGGGCCAACGTGTCAGATCATGTAAGAAATCATGTATCTCTACCATTTGCATTAGTGTTACAGAACCGCTGAGGATGGGTTTGGTTCTCCCCTGGCCCATTCCCGTATCGTAAGTGTTGACAAGAACATCTCTGTTGGAAGCCGACGTCCAGACTGTGAGGATCTGTCGTGGTGAGGCCGCTGGTTCCGTTGGACTGATTGGTATCAAAAGGCAGTCAGCAGGACATTCTGCACTAGGTTTCTTCGTCAAGAAAAAAAAGCTGCACCGGACGTCCAGAAGTCAATGGTGTTGGCACGACGTCTTCGAGCCTTCTACTTGGTGGGTAGTACCGCGGCAGCTCCTGCTCTTGGTTGCAGATAATTCTACTGCCACCTGATTGGTTGTTTGGCTGCGTCGCACGTCTGAACATGTTAGATTTGGCCCCGGCGACCGGACGATGCAGTCAATGATAAACCATACGTCGATGCGGTCGAGTCAATGCACTGCGTGTCGCATTATCGCTTGCAAGCACCTCCGAATCATTGGAGCTCATTAGTAGTTTGGTCTATTCCAGACAAAACATGGGAAAGATAGTTAGTTTCCAAAATCCAAGTCGTCAATGTGAGAGTAGGGGAGAATATGTGTGTGAGGATGGCGTCCCAAGTACTCAAGTACTCAAGTCTTTGGCACTAGACCTCCGTTCACCGAGGGGTATTGTTGAGGCCGTAAGCCGAGACCACGCCCGCACAAAGAAATAGAGCAACGCCCGAAGGCGGGGTGGATGCGGCCATATCCCCAAAGGGGAGAAAACTACACATAGCGGGAGCAAGGGCGGACGGGCCCCAACAACGAACAGAGATATCAAATATACGACATAGATAAAAGGTAGCTACCGAACGGGAATAGATCCCCATGAGACAAGTTACCTCGTCGCTCCGCACGGTTGTCTGATTGTATCATTCTCGAGTAACACCACACGCGCCCAGCTCCAGATCTCTGCCTGAAAGAGTCATAGCCAGTTAGCCGCACACCTCGTTCCTAAGAGGTATATATGCATGTAATAAGGCTGGTCTGTCGGCCACGCTCGCTTTCCGTTGAACACTTGCAGCAAAGCTTCAGGTACATTACGTAACCATGTTTTCCCGGAGCTGGCAGACTCATGAGGCACATCGTCTGCATCGAACGTGGGCCTGGATTACTTGAGTATCCGTCGCTCCGGCCACCGTGGGTATGTCAGCGGAAGGTGTCAACCTCCAGGACCCGGTATATGTACCTACTTCGGTCGTGGAGTCCTTGAGCAAGTAAATCCGACTCAGGGTATCAAATTGACTCCCCTGTTATAATCGCCACCGTCAGCCTCTTGGAACGCGTGCGTACTGGCCCCCGTTGAGTCCGCCCCAGAGCAAACCACAATGCTGCAGTCCCCCCCACATCCGGAAATTTACATCGCCTCTCTCATACCTCGCGCGTCCCTGAATATACTTTGGAGACTGCCCTGGCGTCAATGGACTCTTTTGAAGGAGAACTTGTACGGGCTTTAACGTCGCTTTAAACCTAAAATGCCGGAAATTCCCGTTGTGAAACACCCGGTTCAAACCACGTTCTTTCGGAATCAGTAGGTTCATTTGAGAATGATGACTCGCTGTCCCTTCATTTTAGGCTCATCCGCTCCTCTCCTGGCAGTGATATTTCGCACATAAAATCATTGACTTCGGTATACATTCGCCCTAGTAGGAGATGATTCCGTTGGTATTGCCTGCGCATACTATCATTTCCGGTCTGGACGTGGCCCGCGAGGTACCCTGGTAGCTCTGTCTGCTCCTGTCCCACAAGCAACAGGTAGTGTCAACGATCCCGCCCAATCGCTGCACGCAAGTAGCCATCAATCTACTGGTCAGCAATAAGTATTTTCCAACGTGCGACGACACTCACGATGCGGAACGTGTATCTGTGGCTAGTAGGTGCTCGAATTCTTCCAATGAAACTGATTTAAGATTGGATGACTGATGCGCCACAACCCACACTACTGTCATGGTGGTTTGGGAATCTAGCAGAAGGGGCTCTCGACAAACGCTGTTTGTTCTTGTGATCCGACTGACGATACCACACTTCTGATCAGCAGCTGCGCTGCAACGCGAGGAAAATGCTGATCTAGTATTATTTTCCATCTGCAATGTTTGTCAACCGCTTTCCCGTGCCCTCCATGCACCACTCCCAACAAAGGTGTTATCACAAACCTCTTCTCCTAGCGACCCAACTGCGGATTGCAACTGCTATGGTAGTTCTGATAACATCGCAACACATCCCACAACCATTGCAAACGACGAGCATCTAAGCGCGGTTGGTTGGGGGTTTCTACCCTGGTTGATACTTTCGTAAGCCTCCGGGCCGTAAATTCATCTGAACCAACTTTACAAATGGCTGGTACTGCTCCTCGAGTCGTTCTTGATGGCTGACTAGCACGCTGTAGAATGCTGCACTGATAGGTCCAGCCTTGAGTCCTATTCAACGTTGCTGCCAGGCTCTCGGACGCACATCGCGTGGTACCAACCAATGGCGAGTGAGACAGATCGGCGAAGACATTCGTAGGTCAACGAGAGGTTGACTTTGTATGTGACAGCTGATGACCTACCGCAACCAACTGTATTGAAGTCGATCTCGTATCTCAGAATTGACCTTGTGCGAGTAGTCGAATGTGTCACAACGGAGCCCAGGCGGTCTGATTAAGTCCTCTCGCAGTAATGTGGACGTATGAAAATGCGAACCATGTGGTGCAGTCGGTTACGTACCCGCAGGAAACACGAACAGACAGGGGTGGACGTCATGATTGCGACCCCCTCGAGGGATACAGCAACGGCAAGTACATAATGGCGTATTGCGATTGAGATTGATCGGGGGACATAACGCGCGGAAGGAGGTTTTGATTTGATTTTGGTGAGACGAGGGTTTCATTCATGTCAAATTTTAAAGAATTACAAGAAGCCAAGGGGGTGGATCCGGAGGCGAAACGACGGTTGCTTTGGGGCAATTGATCATTGACTTCCAAGCAAGAAACGTAAAGAAACTGAAAAAAGGTGAATCGGGAGCCTTACTTTTGAACTTGTCTCTCTCCAGAAGCCAAAACCCGCAAAGGAACTGCGTTGTGCTTTGCGCCCCCTCGTCCACTCGATACCATGTAAGGGTTGCTCACTCATGTTAGTGGCCCGTCGATTGTCGAAGATTGCATCCATCACCACCATTAGATGGTGCACCCGCAATCCCAAACTTCCACCCCTCGAAGCGGACAACTTAGCTTTCCTTTTGTGACATCCGTGTTGGCATTAGCACAGTGCGCGGCGCAAACCAAATAGCCAACCGTCGTCACGAGTACCGAGTAGGGGATCTTGTGGGATCTTGTCGGACTTCATCTACACATTTATTCTCACCTTCAAACATGTGGCGGAGGGAGCACTGCCATAAATTTGATTTCCTGGGAATACAGCTGGTGCTTGGGCGCAGTATCCTCCCAACCTGCCAGAACAGGGGAAGCTTTCCATATTCGAGCTGATAGGTCCAAATATGGAAGCTCTCATCGCCCCCTGCTCTTCCAGAACTTTATCCAGCGAGAAGACGAAGCATAATGTCGAATCTTATAAGATGAATTTTGGCACTGAATCCATTCATGCGGAACTTAGAGAAACAATCGTTGCGCACAAAATAAGGAAGGCACCTCGTGGCGGCCGAGATGCTGTGAACTAAGTACCCCACGTGTTAAGCCGAAAAGATCGAGAATACCAGAGCGATGGCCATTACTCAACAAGACACGAGGAATAAGTAGGTTTGTCACTCCTATTTCCTGCATGACCAGTGGCGGCAACCTGCGGAACTTATTCCATTTTTGTGTATCGCGATGACAAGAAGGCGCCAGTGGCAACATCGTTACGGAAAGTCCTTCGTGATTGGGAGATAGATAGTGGAAAACAATAGATGACGAATTCTGGTGTATTTAGTGATCATGCTCAAAACCTTACTTGCTGAAAGGCACTTACCACCGGTGTGCTATTCTCATCAGATGCCATGAGGCAAAGATCTCGCAACTTGAAACAGACCACGCTTCGAACATATGAGGTCAGCTGACATGCTTCACAGTCACAAAGCAGATGAGGCTACCCCGGAAGTTAGTACCCCATACGCACCATGTGCATGATCACTGATCAGGCGAAGAAAAGTGTCACAATTAAGACGAGACTCTAATCGCCGATACCCCTTTCAAAATCTGTGTGCTTCCCCTCTTGTTTTCCGAATCCAATTCACAGGATAGACACACCCGGCCACCGAACTCCGCAGCACATCGTGTTCGCTGGACTATCAACCGCAAGACCGGCCCGTTGGTCGACAAGCACACTACCCTGACCATGCTATTTAGAACAACGGATTCCATTCTAGACCCTTTCCCACCGAGCTATTCCACCCCCTGCCGTAAGTACTTGCAAAGCTGATTGACGAGGTTGGCGTGTGATTCATCTTGGCGAGGACGCTTAATGCGGCTTGTTTTAAAGTTTCACGGTACTTAAGACCCCCAGTGGAATCGAGGACAAGAATGTAGGTTAATACAAGCGGCGATATTTCCCAAATCGTAATATTTACTGAGTCTCATCTGGAGCAAAGTTACGAGGCACATGTTTTCTTTGCCCCCACCTTGATCATTTGTTCTGTTCCTGCCACCTTGTACGTTCGTATGAAAAAGGGACTCTTTTTTCTGGAATGACAATGACATGCGCGATCGACTCCCAGTAGTCAGGAGAGCAAATGACCCGGGAGCAAAAGCACCAAGAAAAGCACGGATACGGCACAAGAAATATGCTATTATGGCAATACATGGTACATGGGCTATGAATCATGCAAGGGACGCGGACTGACATCGACATGCCAAACCAGAAGTCCCAGTCAAAGTAAATATATGGCGTGATTCGGCGACACCGGCACCGGTAAAGGCAAGGCTTACGAATGACATGAGCGTAACGTGAGCAGGCGGGAGTGTCCTAGTCGATGAACCAAGAAGACAGCGTACGGGACATGCGAAATAAATAAACAATTATGAATCTGCAAGTCCAATGCATAACAATCAAACGTGATGGATACCAAATAATAATGCATGATCTGAAGAATAAGGAAAGGGAGCAAGCTCTCTAAGCTCTGTCCTCTTCCCCGTCGCACGTACGTCCGTATTACTCATTCAGGAAGACGAAGCATATCGCCTTCGAAGATAATATCTCCTCGGTCATGTAATGCGGCAACGGCCTTGGCGACCTCGGCAGTGTCAAAGTCTTCATGTTTATCGGGCGGCATCGCTGCATTCAGATACGCGAGGAGGGCCGAAATTGTCATTTCGTCTGTTGGCTCATAGGTGGTCGCAAAGAGAAATGCGATGGAAGAATAGACAAAATTGAGACTGTAACGAGGGTGTGGATTTGAGCGAGCAAGCGACAAAAAGCAGCACACCACTCCAAGTAAGAGGAGAAAGAGGGACGTACCGGCCTGGGAGTGAGTCCAAATCCGCGAAACCAAGTGTCAGTCGCCGTGGTAAACGACTCGAGTGAACACCCTCGAGCGTCACGTGCGCCGACTCTGCATTACCTTTCGGACGAGCGGAACGTGTTGGGTGGATTTTGGTCCGTTCGCTGGCATTGCTTGACCCTGCACAACTACCCGCGATCCACGTCGGAGCTTTTGACTTGCGCTTCTCGTCCACATGACTTGGACTTGTTTTGTTACTCTCGGGCAGGCCATCAAGCGCTCTATCAGACTCAAGCTCATCTTCGGCGGAGCCATCAGACTCGATCTCGTCATCCTGTGGATCATCGTTTCCATCCCTCGATTCTGCGAGTTTGGCGGCCTTTTGGACACGTCTCGCGCTGATTTGACCAGTCAGCATCCATCATAAGCACATTCCGCCTCAAAACAGCTCTTTTGCAAGTACATGCACAAAAAAGACACGTACTGTCTAGCCTGACATTTATTCCGGTGTTGTACCCAAGGGTAGGCACAATAGGAACTGTCTTGTCGGAGTTGAACCCATTTCTTGCATAAAGAACAGAATACTCTGTTAGGCTCAACCTGCTCGATAAGTGGATCTGCCCGGAGTGTTGCCGCTCGTTGTTCTGCGTTGCGCCTGCGAGATTCGTGCACGGGAGGGAAATTCGTTGGTGTAAAATCTTTGAATGACGATTCTGGAGAGCTTGGAGGTATGTTGCTCGGCTTGGTCGTTAACGAAGAAGCCACGGGGCTAGGTGGTCTCTCTCTTATGTCTCTCGATTGGAAAACGGATAACTCCCTTTGTCCCGTGAGAGGGGGAACACTAATGTGCTCTGGATTAGCTGCTCTGCCGGTATGGTCGGCGTTGTCAGCGCCCATGATCCAGCATAATTTAAGACTCCGAACTGACCTAAAGCTAGATGAGGATGCTTCGGGTAGGCTAGGAGTCAGTGCTGACGGCCCTGCTGACTTCTGACAGGTTGATCGGTGATGCAGCCATTTTTGCACTGCTTGCATATGGTTTTCCGGACTCACGGCCACCCAGCGGTCGCATCTGTTACACAAAATACGTTCCGCATCGAACTTCCTGACATCAGGGTCTTTGGAAAGCAATGCATTGCGCTCGTCGAGCGCATAAGCATTCTTGGTAGTCCTGTGAGATAGAGTTATAGGATGGGTAGTCGCAGACAAAACCACTTGTTCTACTTACATTTTCTTTGATAAGCAACTCTTGCGGTGCGCATCCCAAGGAATGGAACAGTATGTGGAGTTAGGGCGCAAACGAATCCACTTATCGCATGAAGCGCACAATACGCGGTATGCCTCAAACTGTGCGACATATGGATCGGCACGAAGATAATCGATCCTCTCCTCCTCAGTGCGCTTTGCACGACGCCGTTTGGGGGGCGGATTTGCTAGAGCCTCTGCTGTGCTCTCCGGAGTATAAATGACGGGTTCTGGGACGGTCTGAGTGGTGTTTGCACTGTGGAGAGTTATAAAATCAAACGAAGAATTTGCAGAGGGGGAACCGGGACACACCATTGTTGGCGATGGGCATCCCAGTGTTTCAGGGTGAATCCGCCGCTCGCTTCGTCTCTGAAGGAGACGCCTTCTCCACATACTTCGCAGATGACACGACCTGTCTCGTATTCACCCTTGGGGACCGAAGGTGAACCTGGGACAGGGCCATTTGTGGCACTGGACGCGGCTCCCTCAGGAGGGGCCTTGCGTTTGCGAGCATTCCTGGAATAACGTGGGTGAGTGGGAGGGGGAAAGGGGGACCAACTTACGAGGGTGCTGAGGATGGTTCTGGAGACATGGAATGCCTGGGCACAACGTGGAATCGAGATCAGCCCGATGTACGGACGTGAACAGGACTGACCTCGGGTTGTCGATTTGTATATCGTGAGGCATTACTTATAGCCAAGTAGTGAGATGAAGGAGGGGGGGGGAGGAATGGACAGAGGGAAGGGGGGAGAGGGATTTAATATGCTTAAGCTAGTTCGGGTCCAAAGCGTATTTACAGAAACAGAAGAGAAAAATATGTCACAGATTCGATATTCGAGAAACATAACCCAATTCGCACGGACATATTTTGAAACCCCGACAGGCGTTGCCTAACTTCATAATTCAGGCACTAACGTCCTCGAAACATCCGCCGCTTCTCCGCCCCGCCTCGGCACAAGCTTATTTTCGGTCGGAGAAACAACACCGCTTCTCGCGCGGAGGCAAACTTGAGGGCATATGTTCCCTGTCAGAGGCCTGAGCAGCTGTCGCGCTATACTTGGGTTCCGTATCTATGACCTGTCCTTTGTTGTTTCCGTGATAGATTGACTGACGAGATCACGTTTCAACGCTCAAGTACTACTTGACAGGGTAAAAAGGTGACATGATTCCAGAAAGAGATATCAAATGGGCTGTTCTGTGAGGTGAAATCACATTTCATTCTTGTTTTTGTTGTCATGATGTGATGCGGAGCTAACCTTGCACTGCTATAGATGTGGTCTAGTTCCAGCTAAACAGTATCCGAGACGGTGTTTTCATTTCGCCCTTCTTTTACATATTCGCAATCTCTCGGGTCTAACGCGGAACTCTCTCCTCGCTTCATGTCGCCGCCCTATTCAGAATCACACCCACATGGTGAGTTATGTCAGCTCAGTGGGTCACGACTGCTCGAACTGGCCACTCTCACCATGCTGCCACATCTTATCGCTCCATCTCGATATTTATTAGTTCACTGTATCAGCCTCCGCCGGCATTGGAGGTAAGCGCAACGGTGTCATCTAATTTAGTCCCCATTGGAGTGTGGTTGTCGTGCCCTCCATGGACGTCGCCGTAGTTTCCAACATGGCGTGTGAAAGTGCAGAACGATTTTCTGGACTTGTTCTGAATAATCGTTGCACGGGTCAGGACCCCATTCGGAATTCTGTCTTCCTTGGGTCAACAGTTTCTATTGATCGCCGCTGACAGACAAGGTGAAAGAGAATAAGAAAAAGGACTAATATGGTCTTATCTCTCAGACTCAGCTCCCACATGATGACTGGCGTGTCCTATTCTTTTTTATTTCGCGAAATACCCCTGAGATACACTCTATGTTGTTTGTCCCAAGGGAGCCCCCAACCTTACCGTCGGTTGGAAAAGTTTATCTCCTCAATCGGGTTTTGTCTGTGTACGTACATTCTAGACACACGATACTGGTCGTCGATCGCGATAAGGTACGCGTCCTCGAGGCACGTCCTCAATCGGAAATGCTGGGCTCTGGTGGCGTCTTCTGTCTGACCATCTGATGATAACTACAGACGAGGCTTGAGGTGCGGATGGCACTTTAGGGGCCTGTGCAGCACGAAAGAAAACAAGGTAATGTATGATATATTGGTATCACCTTGGCATAGAAACCCTCTCACCTGCCCTAGCCCCGCACTGGAGGGAAACCTCTTTCCGGTTTCGTATTACATCACCAGCACTGTTCGCAGGTCACGTCGCGATTACGCTCGATAGGATGCGACGTAAATACGCACTTGCGGCGGCCTTCCATTCCGCGGACCTTGAGCAACGTCCCGGCAGTGTAATAAGGGTTCCATTTGTAGAGCAAGCTATGTAAAGTATCTCGCTCGCTCTATTAAACCGTCTTAACATCAAATGTGGTTTTTGACCGATTCGTCCGAAAAAATCATAAGACCATAATTTACTGGGATTCCCCATTCGACGTATACCGAAACCGCTCGGGCTCGTTCGTCAGACCCTTCCATATCCTCCTTCCTCGATAAATACCTTGAGACGTTTCGCGATGACATCCAACCCAGCGAGCCATCTTCTGAGTTCTGAGTCAAACTTTTCTCGGTCGCCACCCTGAGAAATGCGAGCAATGAAGTCTCGGCGGTATGGAACCGCGCGAACTGCGACCTAAAAGAGACCCATCTCAGTGAGCGCACCGATGGTAATCAACGAGCGTTGAAGTCCGGCACTGCCCAAACACGGAGGAAGCCATGACATGTGACGTACAACGGCTAACGAGCGCACGACGAAGGTGTGATGATGCCGCAACACCTCGTCGTAGGAACGTTTGAAACACACGTGTAGTTCGATGGAGGGCTCATTCTGCATGTGTTGCAATGCCTTGCACAAGAACATCAGCCCCCTGGAACGGTTTCGACAAATCGGGGTAAGTTAGTGCGTGAACACGATGCAAGAACAAACGAGGTATTGTCATTCACCGAGTAAGGCGCACAAGACAACCGGTTGCATGACGATGTTGCTCCGTTGACGTTTCGCTTCGGACTAGATTCTCAAGTGTGAGAGAACTGGCGGAAGCGTTCTGATACCGTGACCGAATACCCTGTTTCAATCACAGACAGAGTGAATCGGGAAGAAGAAGTGTCATGTCAGTGTGTGGCAGAGGATGGAAATCCGGATAAGAAAACACATTACCCCAATGTTGCCCCTTATGTCTGCCTGCACGAATCCGAACACACCTGAACCCAGCAGGTCTGCATGTGTGACCGCGCGTGTATGTGAAATCACCAGACATATCCAAGTTTGAGACAAGATGGCTAGATGGGACGTAATCAAGGGAAATGGCGTCGCACCGAATAGCTTGACTAGCCCGTCCGAGGCTTCCAGAAAAGAATGCGTTTCCACACCGTCTTCAGTGATTGGAACGTCCGCAAAGGACTAAGTTGGAAATGTTACATCCCGGCTGCTGCGTGTTGACAGAACGAGTTCATGGAACCTTACTTTGACGGTTTCGAAATACGGTTTCGACTCCATGGTAAGGAGAGGTGAGTTTGGAGGACAGACCAGGGGGTGGGATGCAACGTATTAGTAGGATGGCATACCCTTACTACTACTCGTTGAATCCTCGAGGCAGGGTGGTGATGCCATCGCCATGCGGAAAGCAGCTGGCACAAACACACCGTCGAGGCGATTTCATAAAACATTGTCCGATGGACTCGTCATTCTCACTTATAAACCAGTTGGCTTGTACTATCATGACGAAGACTCACAAAAACAGGTCCCAAGTTGGTGTAGAAGAAATACTGTACAATTAGCCCTACCACAGTGGGTGACCGTGAGACACGACGGATAGTACGAGTGCAGTGTCCCGTAGCCGACCTATTCCGATTCGTTGCAACTTCAAACCCTCGACGACAGTTGTTATCTGTCCCTCACATATTCGTACATGTGACACAGTTCGGAAAAAAAAAAGTCGTACGTGGTAGAGCTGGACGGATGGGCGATGCTGCCCGCGGTGCCCAACGATTACTATGTCCATGGTGGCAGTCGACCAGTACGTGGTTTCTTCTTATACCTTCTTGATCACGCCACTGCTTGGATAGACGTTCGTTTGGATTTCTTTTTCTGTGGCATAGCGATATTTCCAAGGTTCAGTGTCACGGGTCTGCTCGTAAAATTTCCCGTTCAATGCTGGAGCGGTAGCGATGTGTCCACGTCAAAATGAAGAAAGATAAAAGAAATCGCGGTTTTGGGAGTCAGCATCGGATACGTCGAGAAATGAATGGGAGTACGACTTACTGGGGAAGGGGACGTGGCTGGACGAATCTGTTTCCTCTTCTTCGTCTTCGTCAGACTCCCAAGAGTCGGGCCAGTCTTGTCTGCCGTAGGACGCGCTTGCTCGGGTAGCAACCGCCATGACCGTATTCCTTCCATCGTTGCGGTCTAATATCTCGGCATGCGACTCAGGCGCCACGCTGTCGCAGGATTCACCTTCTCCGTGGCTACCGACCGACTCAATGTCCCGTGCAATCGAGCCTGTAGGGCTGGATTCTACTGTGCTCGGAGGTGGCGGAGGCACAGACTCTTCAACATCTGGCAAATGCTGATTTTCGGTGTACTTGGCGACGTGCTGTGATCGACGCTCGGTATTAATCCATGCGAACTATTATGGTTGGGGGTGATACCGTACCTTCAATCTCTCAACGTCCGGACACTTGTTCCTGTGCTTGACCCACAAGCCAGGGTAGTACCGAGACCTTTTATCGAGGCTAATTTGTTTGCCGCAGCCAACGCAAGTGACTCTCGTCACTGTAACATTCGCTGTAAATTCGTCCTCCTCGAGTTCTCTTTTTCGTTGTTCCTCTGTCTTGCGCTTGCGTTCCCATCCCGCTGCTGTTGCCGAGGATGTATTTCTCGTTGGTCCAGAAAATTCCCGCTGGCTATCGTTCCTTTTCGGCATGCTCTGTGGCGTGTCATGAGCTGGCGTGGTGGAAGACACGATCGATGATGTCGAGGGACCGAGGGCTTTGGGTTGTGTCCCCGAGGTCAGTGGCGGTAGCTTTGCGAGCAAAACATGTGGTGATCCCGGACATGCTTCCCAGTGCATGCTCACTAATTTGTTGACCACGCCCCATGGCGCGCGGCTGTCGTGCTGGATCACAGCTTTACATCTGCCGCATGGAATGCAACGTAGTCTGGATTGAGAGCGATGCAGATGGTTAGTGCTACTATTGTCCCATTCGCCTTGCTGCACTGCGAGTCGTGGGGCGTTCCTGTCCGCCGTGGCAAGGGACAACATCCGTATTTTTTTTTTTTGATTCCCTTGATCGTTTGGAAGGTGGGTCGTGGGAGGGTGAGTTTCGAACGAACGGAAAGACGGATGAACGACAGGTTATTAACTTTTCTGCTTGTTTCTCTTCCTTTTGTGTTGTGTTCATTTTTTTTACCACCATTGTTTTTTTGCGGAAGGTGATTCTACGGACCGCGGAGTGGTTGACTGACGTTCTCTCCCGCATTGTTCTCTCGGACCACGGGTAGTGGACATCTCACATCGACAGAATCAGAAGGACGATATGGAAACGATGGTTCAAGGGTATGCTTTCCTTCCGCTCTACTCATTTCATATCATATCAAGTGTTGTCGCTCATTATTGCTATCTGCTGCTCCTCAGCGTTTTGAACAGTTCATTCGGTAGCTGCAGGTAGGTCATCTCCAACGCTTATAAACCAAGCCGCGAGGCTCATCGTCATCCCTCGGAAATAAGTCCGTCGTAACAGGGGCATGCGTGTTGCTAGAGTCCTTTGTAGCAGGTTTCTTACGCCAGAGCTAAAGTGGCTACAAACGTTGAGCTACTAGAACCAACGGCAATTTCATTTCTTCTGTTCAACTCGCTTCATCGCCACGCATGGCCTGCGCTGGGGGTTTGATGTGCTGCGCGCCCGTTCCACGATGGCGTTCCAGAATGGATGAATGAAATGGTAAGTTATCGAGAGAACTTTTTTCTTTTTAATCACAGTCGATTGATGTGGGTCCGGCATGTCCCCGCCGAGCGGAGCACTTCTCTCCGTGTTTCTAGATTGATCGAAGACAAACATATGGACAGCGGATGTATTTGGGGCATGGCATAGCCTCTTCTATCAGACGGGCGTATCCATTCTTCTTTCTAGTAAGTGAATTCTTGTTAATTACATATCTCTGGTAGAGTCGTTTTGCAATTGATACGGTGGGTCATGACGTCAAGCAGTGGGCCCTGTCTTCCCAGGGAGAAGTCTCCGCTGGAGGATCGGGCTAATCTGGGGGAGTAAAGTTTGGTTCAGTTTCTGGTTAGATAGCGACTTTGCGTCCTTTGATGCCCCTCTTCCTTACCTTGCCACCTGACGCTCAAGTACCTAGATGGCGTCCAATTCGGCGTCGGCAGGTTGGACTGTATGTGCATATGTAACTACGGCGTAGGAAGTACACTCACGTGGACAGGTATCCTACAGGATTGTCGTATGACTTACTAGCGGACATGATCATATGGTATGCTTGATGCTGTAACCGGTGCCAAAGCGGGCGTTCCACGATGGTGCCGGTGGACAGGGAGCTTGATATTATCGGGTTGGTATTGTGTTGGCTGTGATGCTCGCCATGTACAGTCACTTACTGAGGTCGTGAATAGTGCAAGTGTCAGCAGCGCTCGACCTGAAAAGCACGGAATGTTCCGTTCCCCTTGCACGTTCCCATGACCCACCCCTGCGCTGCGTGATAAGGGTCAGTGATCCGTACTAGCGGGCAGGCAGGGCAGGTTGCCAATCGACAACGATGAAGATGAAGATCCCGGAATCAAATCAATAACTTAGATATACAGGCAGCCGAGGAAGCACGGCAGTTTCAATCATCGATGGGCAGTCCATCTCAGGCTGGTGTCTATAAGACAAAGTTGGCTTGACGCCAGTGCCACGTGTCACCGGTACCGCGTCAGAGCCGCTGGTTGTGGATTTCACACGTGGCGCCGAGTCAAAAACGGTTAGGCACACAGGCTGGCCTGCGAAGTGCGTACTGGATGTCTCCTGTCTTGCAGGGATGGCATGCTACCAAGGTGCCAATTGGCATGTGGATGACCGATGACCTGTGCTCATTGTTGTACTTGACTTCTGTCGCCCAATATCCCTTACGTCATCATCTCACACACATTCCCATGCGTGTTCTCAAGCAAGCTGGCTACCGCCCGCGGCGGTCCTTCCCGAGTACAAATTGTAAAAAGAATTGAAACGTGATTTCCCCTACTTGAAGGACATCCGAGAAGTCCCATCTTCGCTGGTTTCAGTCATGCTGCCTGTGCCAACAAAGCCCAAGTTGAAGCAGAAGTCGACTCGCAGAGACCTTGAGGAGCTCAAATTCAGCGGTAGCCATGCACGGATGATCGAACGAAGGAGGAACAGTGGACAGATCTCGTGTGCTGAATGCAGAAGGTGCGTGGGCGATCATTGCGTGTTACTCGTCGGCTGACTTCCACACTTCTGCGTGGTCCCCCATGCATATTACTCACAGACTCAGGATTAAGTGTAACAAGCAGATTCCTTGTCAGTCCTGTAGGGTGCGTATATTGTTTTCTTTTCTTCTCTTTCCCTCAGCACTCTTGTACCACGGTAACCACTAACACTTTCACACGCATTCATAGCGAAGGGGTTGCGCAGCACTATGTCCCAATGGTTCGTTCTTTTTCCTTCCATTCTCATGGCTTCATCCGTTGTTTGTCCACAGGAAGCCTTTACACAGGTCAAGGAACTCGGTATGTCCTATCTATCATTGTTTGACGCCCGATTGCCATCTGACCCCCCCTCCCCCCACAATGTAGGTTCGTCCTTGCAGCGACGGAACACCTCCACCGTCGGGTGTCAAGAATGAGCGAACGAATTTGGCAACTGGAAGATGCACTGAGTGAGCTCCAAGCCCGGTATTCCACGGAACCGCACCCGCTTCTTCGGCCTGACCTCCTAGGGGCATCTCAACATGATAACGTCAGTCTCCCCTGTGCTAATAACCCCGAAGTTGCAGAGCCCACCTCTGAGTTGGTGGAATCGTTGGGTACATTGTCTATCTCGGACGGTGGTGCATCTCGCTTCTTTGGACCGACGGGAGGTTCACATGTAAGTATTGCTATAAGTCGTGTATATGTATGCTTTTGCTTAAAGTTGACTTTTGTAGTGTCTATTGATGGTGAGCAAGATCCAAGCTTACTCGGTCGCACCTATAACGATGCCGTCTAGAGCGATAATCTATCATCACAAGAATTTGCCGGCGGTTCGTCTGATTCGGCGAGGGACTCGACGGGTCCAGAGCTACCCCATGCAATTGAAAAATTTACCCTGCCACTCCTATTTAAGCCCTTTCATTCGACTCTCAACGTAGAAAACCTGGTCAGCGACTACTTGCCTACTTGGGAACAAGCACATCGTTTGGTAGAAGCCTACCTCGAAGAAGCCACCTGGCTATTCCATAATGTCTCTAAGGATCAGATCTTGTTTGAGTTGCTGCCTGCGTATTATGTGAACAATATACCTCATGTTGCGCAGGCGGACAGCAACCCCCACAGACTCTGCCTCCTTTTCCTTATTTTTGCGATTGGTGCTTTGCTTGACGCGAGCCAGAAACCTGGGAATGCGGAGGCAGAGCATTATCACCAGGTTGCGCGTGTTGCAATCTGTCTTCAGTCCGTGATGGAGAAGCCATCTTTGGAAACGATTCAAGCACTGTACCTTCTCAGCGCATACAATGTTATGAGCGGCAATGAGTTGGCTGGAAAGGAAACAAGTATGGAGACATCTTGGTCATTAGTGACTTTGGCTGCGCATCTAGCTCACACGGTGAGCTCGCTAGTGTTCAGATTTGACTGTGCATGACGCTTACAAGTTATTTGGGTTAGCTTGGACTTCGTAAGTATTGGCGAAGATGAGAGACAGACAAGCAGGCTAACTAAGGCTCTGTCATTCCAAGACCGAGATAGTCTCAGATGGGGGCTTTCTGCTGATATTATCACGAGGCGACGGGTGGTATTTTGGGATCTATCTGTGGCAGATGTTTGGAACGTAAGTTGGGTCTATTTCTAGTTTACGTACTTGCTGATTGTTGTGGTGCCATTGCAGTGTCTCGAAGCTGGGAGACCTCCAACCTTCTCTCTTCCATACATCGATTGCCAGTTTCCTGGAGGCGGGTCACCACAGTGATAAGGTTCACATCGGCTCCGATAGTCAGGCGTTCTGTTAAGTTCTCTCTTTGTTCACTGTTCTGATACTCATATTGGTTAGCATTCCTAAGATGGATGTTGGCCTTTTCGCTTCGCCTCAGATTGTGTCGCAGATGTCGCTGCACGAACACTGACTTACGATTTCCCAAGTTATTTCACTGTCCTCGAGCTCGACCGTAAAGTGCGCAATTTCCCTGTTACTGAAGCTGCCGAAGAGTTTGTTGCTGCTGCGTCTGGCGCTGTCCCAGCGAAACCCACAGATAGAGGCATTGGCATGATGGAGTCAATGGACCGTTTCGTGATGTCCAATGCACGGGAAGTCAGTGAGTCGTTTTCACTGAAATTTTTCGGTGAGGTTCGTTCAGCTGACAATGATGGTCCGTCTGATTAGTCTTGCTTCACGTCCACCGGAGCTACTTTGCAAAAGCTATCATCGAAAAGTCCCGCCAATCCTTTGAACAGTGCATATACACCATCTTTCCTCGCAGCGTATCGGGCATCCTTGACGGTCTTGCATACAATCAAGGTGCAATACGGGCTCCATCCGAAACTCACTGCCAGATTTTGGCTAATATGGACATTTGCTTTTTCGGCTGCTGTGAGTTTGCCACATTTGTTGTCTTGCCACTTCAATGTCGACGTGATGATGGTGCTAGATCGTGTTCGGAACGGTCGTGACACGTGGGCCACGGTCACCTATGGCATCCGATGCAATGAAAGAGCTTCGCGATGCTTGTATTCTTTTCTCTAAAGCATCATCACATAGTCGGAGGGCACAAAAAGCGCTCGTGAGCTGTCAGTCTTGTGCGCTTATACTCGGAGACTCATCGCGCGATAGCCCATCATCACGAAGTTGACGGAGAAGGCACATAATGCTCTCCTTCATGCGCGGAGCGATATGCCGAACGAGTTGGGTCAGCAGTGGGGCGTCACAAAGAATAAGGGCGATGATGAACTGGCTATTTTTGCGGGCCGGATGAAGTTCGTGTCTATAAGAAGGCAGACAACAGATGGGACGTCGGAGCGATGTACGAATGCCGATAGGTCAGTCGAGTGGTCAAATAGTCCAGCACCCGAGTCGCAGCAAGAACAAAATCAGGTTGAACTTGCATTGCCACAGTCGTATGGTCGTGAGCAGTTGGATCCTGTATGGCCTCACTGGCAGCCTGGCTCTGCGGCTGATCCCAAGCATATGGAAGAGATACCGACTGGGTCTACGCTCATGGAGCTACCTCCAGCGCTACTGCAAATATATCCTGATGTGGCCAGAGGTGTTGTTCTGCCTGGCCTGGAATTGATGCAGTTTCCAATTGAAATTAGGCATGAGCTGCTGGGACCACAGTTCCTTGGAAGTCAGGAGTCTGCTTGAGCACAGAGATGTCTTCTCTTGTGAAGTGCCAAGGCATATGTACTATCTCTTCATGGGTATACATCATGCATGGGGTATGGTTATTGAGTGATTGCACATTAGATTATCTACATGTGTTTGTAGGTTTGATTGTCTTGGCAAATGTGTCTCTTTCATGTAGCACATGCCACAGAGGCTATGCTCTGGCATGGTAAACAAGGTGCCTGCCAGTGCCACCAGCCATGCTCTAGTAATCTATTAGTGCTGGGAATTTACTTATTTGTGTGGGACAAATAAAGTCATGTGCAGGGTGGAGGAGATTCTGTGTCCTGCAACCAAAATTGATTATGTAAGCACTCACATCACACTAGCTTTGATTGTAGTTAGGCCTACCTGATGGCTTCATCTCCTATGCACAGATATGACTCATATACTGTATATATAAGATTCTAGTGGCACATTGTTATGACTATACTATGCTAAGACTGGCAGAAATTTGGTAGACATGAAGGGTTGAGCCAACTATGAGTCTGTTGTGAATAATAGTACCTCATTTTGGAAGTCACCCAGTAAAACTTTCATCATCTTCACTGCACTCTCCAATATGCATCATTATCCCACATATATCTCTTCATGATGTCTAGGACCTCAAAGCACCAAGATCTTGAAAAATGTAAGTCATAAGTCATGTGGTACCAGTATCTTACATGCATTTGTTGTAGTCTTTTCAGTGCTATGTATGTGCAGACAGTGTTTTCATAGCAGGCCTGGAGCAGAACTTGCTTCCAGATGATGCAGAACAGCATGTTGCATTGGCTGGACAGGAGGCAAATATATCTCAGAGAGAAGTGACTGTAAGTGATCCTCCCCATCTCTGCTTATTTTATCATTGACTCTGCATTTATGTAGATTGCTGATTTTTGGCACCTTACTAGTTGTCATAAACAGCTCATTCCCCTGCAGCTCACTTGGGCTGTGTGTTTATACAAGAAGGAGAAAGGGGATCAGAGCACTATTTGCTTTGAAAAGTGTTCAGTGGTGAGTGGTAATCTGTATAACCACAGTCATTGATGGTCACTAAATAAATTTCTAGGTCAGAGGTCTTGGTCTGTGAGATGTTGCTGTACCATTAGCTCAATGGTTGAGCAGAACCCTGATATTGCTGTTGTATGTGTGACTGTCATGTTGACACTGACTGCAAGTCCCCATACAAGAGGGGTAGGGTCCTCATTGATGCAGGTAATGAAGACTTGTGTCCAAGTAACATGCCTTCAGTCATTGTCCCAGCTCCTGGCAAGGAGTGGTATACTGTGGCTCCAGAGCAAAGTACCATCTTTGTCAACAGTGATGGTGAGTGGTGTACATTACATTTAAGCTTATACTAAGACATGATTCTGACCATCCATGGTAGGTGAAATTGAACTGGCTGTTACAGTGACTCAAAAAAGTGTCCCAATGTTGAGTGATTTTGGAAAGAATTGAGATTTATGAGGGAGCCAGTAGGATTCAGTGAAAGTTGCTGCAGGGCCAAAGATAGCACTAACTGTTGCCCTGACAACAAGGGGATGTTCATGTAGTTTGGTTGCTATGGCACTGAGATATAAGCATTTTAAAATGACATGTCATTGGGACACTTTTTTGAGCATGATGTTGTCAGTCATTATTTGGCAAATAACATAAGGAATTGGCAACTTCTGAAGGATTTTGTGCTTCAGCATTGCCTGATTATGTATTGTACATAATCCTGAGCCATAAAAATGGCTTGGGTCCCACTCAGCTAACCCTACTTCACCATGAAATGCATTTTTGCCTCTGCTAGAGCAAATATCTATCTTCTTTCTGAATCTGCCCATTCTGATCATCAAATTTCCTCTAAAACTGGTCTGGGGAGCTCTACTGTGGCCAAGGGTCATCAAAGGGTCACAGCTGGATAAGGAAAACCTCAAACTGGGACATCCTTAGCAACTTTCCTCTGCTGGCAGAAGGAGAATAGTCTCTAGTGTGACCTCTGGAAGCACTGAAAATGCTGTCCAGGCCACCTATACAATAAGAGTGGCCCTTTCCTCTCCTGTCACTTCCCAAACTGTTTGCAGTGTGCTCAATTCTGCATCCCTGAAGGCTGTAGTCAAGCAGGAGAAGCCACTCCTGTCTGGCAAGCATAGGCAACAGGGACTTGCCTTTGCTCTAAAGCACCAAAACTGGACTGTGGTGGTCTGGACTAGGATCATCTGGTCAGTTGAACCCAAGATCAATAGTATTGGGTCAGATGGAAGGAAATATGTGTGGAAAATGTTAGGACAGCCTTTGCAGCATAATTCTCTTGCTCAACTACAGCCTTCAGAGATGCAGAATTGAGCACACTGCAAACAGTTTGGGAAGTGACAGGAGAGGAAAGGGCCACTCTTATTGTATAGGTGGCCTGGACAGCATTTTCAGTGCTTCCAGAGGTCACACTAGAGACTATTCTCCTTCTGCCAGCAGAGGAAAGCTGCTAAGGATGTCCAAGTTTGAGGTTTTCCTTATCCAGCTGTGACCCTTTGATCACCCTTGGCTTCAGTAGAGCTTCCCAGACCAGTTTAAGAGGAAATTTGATGATCAGAATGGGCAGATTCAGAAAGAAGATGGATATTTGCTCTAGCAGAGGCAAAAATGCATTTCATGGTGAAGTAGGGTTAGCTGAGTAGGACCCAAGCCATTTTTATGGCTCAGGATTATGTACAATACATAATCAGGCAATGCTGAAGCACAAAATCCTTCAGAAGTTGCCAATTCCTTATGTTATTTGCCAAATAATGACTGACAACATCATGCTCAAAAAAGTGTCCCAATGACATGTCATTTTAAAATGCTTATATCTCAGTGCCATAGCAACCAAATTACATGAACAACCCCTTGTTGTCAGGGCAATGGTTAGTGCTATCTTTGGTCCTGCAGGAGTTTGCACTGAATCCTACTGGTTCTCTCATAAATCTCAAGTCTTTCCAATATCACTCAACATTGGGGCACTTTTTTGAGTCACTGTATCTGTGGGTGCTCTGGTGGGAACCTTGATGTACTTGAGTATGTGAATGTGGTCATATTAGAGGTTGTCAATGACTGTAAGGGTGTTTGTGTCTGTTGCATGTTACCTGCTATTTCATGGTCCAACTCACCCTTCATTCTAGCCCACCCATGGGGGAGAGATGATCCAGTATGGGTGGAATGCTGGGGCTTGTCCCCTACATGTCTTTGGATTGGTAAAAAATTTGAGGGATAGGAAACTCACAGATAATGAGCATCATGAAAAGAATGGGGCAATCTTGGATATCCTTGCACTGGCAAGGAACCTTCTGATCAGGACTCTGCCAGAGGAAGTGGTAGCTAGTGTTGCTGCAGCTTGGCTCCAAAGGCTGAGTTGCTCAACAACAAGCAGCTTAGTCACCATGACAACTATTACCAAATGTAGCCTTGTGTTGCCACATACCAAATCCACAATAATTATTTTAATACTTAATAATATACAGTGACTTCCAAAATTGATTCAATGTTTGCACATTTTGGGTTGTTTGTTGAATTTATCAAGAACAAAGGCAAATAATACCAAAGTGTAAGTTGATGACATAAGCCATTTGCACAGACTATCCATCAAAAAAAGGATTATGTAATTTGAATTAGTATCCATAAAGGTATATACAATTTAAATTGCCATGTCGTTGAATCAATTTTGGAAGTGTGTATCAGAGATATAGAAACTGATAATTTTAATACTTTGTATGACCTCCCTTGGCTTTTATCACCTGCTTAGACCCTTCTAGGCATACTTTCAATTAAATTCTGACACACCCCTGGGTCTATATTATTCCACACCACTGCCACTTTCTCCCAAACCTCCCAAACTCCCTTTGGCTGTGTTGAATACTTGTTGAGGTCCTGTTTGATGTGATTCCAGAGGTATTCAATGGGGTTCATATCTGGAGACTGTGGAGGCCAGTCTAGAGCATTGATATTGTTGTCCTCCAACCACTTCTTGGCCTTTTTGGAGGTATGTTTTGGGTCATTGTCCTGTTGAAAGATAACATCCTTCAAAGGAATTCCAGAATCTCCCAAGCTAGGAAGTAACTGGCTCTCCAAAATGTCCACATATTGGTTGGCATCCATCTTCCCCTCAATCTCTGCAAGGTGGTCAACACCTCCCCAGCCCATAATGTTTCCTCTTCCATGCTTGACTGTTGCCCTCCACAGTCCATTCTTTGTATTTCAGAGCAAAGGCCAATTACTTCTTCCTGTGAATTATAGGAAGGAGTGGTTTTCTTTGTTACAGCCTTGAATGAATGTTTTCTGAGGACCCTTCTGACTGTTTGTGAGGAGAGTGGATTGGAGATTATGGAATTGATGTTCTTTGTAACCTCAACAGCATTGGTGGCCTTGCCTGTGGTGATTTGTGTAATACAGTAAGTAGCATCCTGAGAGGTGGATGAAAGTTTAGCAGGACATCCAGAAGAAGGTGCTTGTTGATCAGGAAGAAGGTTCTTGAGCACCCTGGAAACTGTAGGCTGGCTGATGCCCAGCCTGGAGGCAATAGTGACCATTCCAGGCCAGAGAAATGATGTTTTCCTTCTGAGCAGAGAAGATGGGGTGCATAGTATAGTTAGGAAGCATTGACAATGTAGACAGTGGTTAAATAAGTTGGACTGAAATGGTTGCTAAGGTACAAGTAACCATAGCAACCATCTTTGATGATTTTTGAAATTGTTTTATGTGATATTGGTTGCATTCTGATGGATCCAATACATTGTTACAAAATTGATTCAATGACATGGTGATTTAAATCAAGTAATATTGCCATGGATACTAATTCAAATTACATAATCATTTTTCTGATGGATAGCCCTGTGCAAATGGTTTATGTCATCAACTTACACTTTGGTCTTATTTGTCTGTGTTCCTGATAAATTCAACAAACAACCCAAAATGTGCAAACATTGAATCAATTTTGGAGGTCACTGTAGATGTAGTATGGCCCTTGGCTTAGGGCAGCTCCC